TCCAGCTCCCTCACTGCTGGCTGTGGGATCTTCTCACTGCCTCAGTATCCCCGTCTGCAAAATGAAATAACAGTGCCTTACTCATTGTACTCCTGTGAGGTTTAAAGGACTGTAAATATATAAGATGCTTCCTCAGTCTCTGGCACATATTAATACAATACTGAACTAAAAAAAAAAAAAAAAAAAAGGAAGAGCAAAACTTGCCCTAGCTGAGTGGCTCAGTTTGTTGGAGCATCATCCCATACACCAAAGGGTTGCAGGTTCAAACGACAGTCAGGGCACACACCTAAGTTGTGGGTTCACTTGCCAGTCGGAGTGTGTATGGGAGGTGGCCAACAGCTGCTGCTCACTCACATCAATGTTTCTCCCTCCACCCACACTTCCTCTCTCCCTTAAAAAAAAAAAAAATCAATAAGCATATCCTTGGGTAAGGATTTAAAAAATAAAAGAAAGCAAAAACCTTTCTTGTTATCACTCCTGGAGGAAACTCCTTCCTTCTCCACTCCCTCACTTCATGCATCTGTCCAACCTTGTGCCACCACTTTCTCTTATCTGATTTAGGTTCCTGTCTTAGCTCCCTTATCGGAGTGAACATCCTGGCAAATGCTTAGTTTGGAATCTACAGACAGCCAATATAAAACAACTCAATGAATAAACGAAGCCTAAGTAATCATACTTAACGTCCAAAGACACACATTTAATGCTTAAAGAAAGATTTTTAAAAAGAGTGAGAGAGATTAAAGAAGCAGAACGTTCCACCATCCTCCATAGAGCCAAAAGCAAGACGGTGCACAGAATGAGCACAGGTCAGGAGTGCGTTCTGCCTTCACTCTGACGGACCTTGCGCAAGTCTCTCAACTGCCTTTCAAGCAATCAGGGGCAACAGCACTCAAATAATTAAATGTTGTGAGGATTAAATGAGATCCTATGTGCAGAGGTAGCATAGAGTAGGTGCTTACTAATTGTAAGTTTCCTTTAGTTTTCCTCCTGTGCCTCTCACACCAGAGCAAGGACTGACTAGTCATTCCCGGCACAAACAGCCATGCTGGCATCGAGGACCTACGTTCGCGGAGCACCAGGAAGTGGCTGATGTCCAATACCATCCCATCTAAACACAAACCACAGCACAGTATCTCCTTACGCGCTCATCAAAGCAGAACGGTGAAGACAATACATGGTCCTTCTCCCACTGCCCAAATATTCTAGTCATAATGAACTAACTATTCACTGATCTTTTAATGTAAATGGACCCAAACTGGACTCTTGGAAAAGGATTACCGAAGAACACCGTGTAGCCGTCACAAGGAGAGCCACCCACTTTGCAGAGTGCCGTAGCCCCGAAGCAGGGAGCTCCTGACGCACGAGGTCCGCCTCCAGGAGACACCCAGCTCCCAGGGCTCAGTCGTAGAGGGCTGAGACTAAGACAGGCAGGTTTTGTAACCTGTTTCAGAAGGGAAAATCTGGAAGTAAGAATACTTTTTCTTTCTCCATACTTAAGTCTCTTAGGCCACTGTTGGTGCTCTCTCTGAAGCCCAGGTCCTATTCAGGAACCACCTTCCAGAATGAAGAGCAAGCCAGATGCAGGAAATTCACAGGCTGCGCATGCTAGGCTGTGGGCTCAGCTGCTGGTCAAAATGGGCGAACTGTGTGTCCCTTCAAACAGCACCAGGTGAGGATGTCCGTACGAGGCCCAGGCATGAGGCAGTAACAATCACTAACCCCTCCTACCGTGAGCCTGATGCTTTGCAGCTCCAGATTCCTTCGGTGCGCACGTTATGTACTGAAGGTTCCCTGCGAGCCGCTTTTTAATATTTCTATCCCAGAGCCTGGTACTCAAAAAGCCCACTGAATTGGACTAAATAATTGATGAAATTATTTAGGCACAAGCCCCATGCAGCCTTTGTGAGGTATTCTTTTATTAGTGAGGAAAATGAGGTCCAGAGAGACTACAGGGTGACGTTAGCTAAAAAATGTGGTCTTTATCTCACCCACCCAGAAGAGGGCTTCGTAGTGGGCCCTGACCCTACTCGCCACTGCTGGCCACAGCTAACTCTGTTCCGCTCAGATTGGGGCTCCCAGATCCCACCCCCAACCTGTCTCCAGGACAGGGAATTCCCACCCATCCTCACGAACAGGTCTCAGACGCAGAGACACCAGTCCCATCGCACCAGCTCTTCTGAATGAGTACGGACTCCTGACAGCATCGACAAGCCCCACTACATGACTGAGCACTCCGTTCTGGAGTGACCTTCTTTTAGTCATCCTTGTCCTGTGCACGTCTGTCCCCTCTCCATAGACCCCTGATGACCGGGACGGCTGTGGAACCCCAGCTCTCCCTCCACCAGCCGCGCAGGCCCTCCACTCCTCCGGGCCTCAGTGTCCTCATCGCTAACGTGGAAGACAAGGCACTTTCTTCACAGAGCAGCTGCAAGGAGCAAATAATGGCTGTGCAATTGCTCTGTGCAGCTGTAGCTACTGCTTTTAATCATTAGCTTTGTTGTTTTACTTCATTTCTGTATTCCCCTCCCTCCCATCAACCTCCTGGCACACACTTTTAACAGAATACTAACAATACTAAACATCATGAAAATCACTTTTACACTTTGTCACAACAGTACAGAATATACGTTAGAGCTGAACTGAACTGTGAAATCACACAGGCATGACCAGTCGCCTAACCAGCAATGAGGAAGCTTCATTCTCTTTATGGTCAAGTGTCATTTCTAAGTGCTGGCAGACACCGCTGGGGCTTGCAAGGGTATTTTCCTTCACAGGTCGCAGAGGGGCCAGCTGTCCCACATGGCCTCTCCAGATAGGAAAATTCAATCTTAACTTAATTGTTCTGTTATTAACAGTGACAGCTACAATTTATTGACTCTCTACTGCGTTCCAGGCACTGTGCTTCGTGTTTTACATCCATCAGCTCACTTAAACCTCTCTATTCTATGAGTACAAATCTACCCCTCTATCTCTCTAGCTCTAGCTCTGTCTCTCAGCAAATGAAGGCTCAGAGGGGTCCCACAGCCAACAAGTGGGCAAGGCAAAATGCAAAAGCCGGGTCTCCCTGACAGAGGCATCATGCTCTTTCCACTCCACATATACCCCTATTTCCCTTTTATCTGCATAATTGTAAATCCCCTTTAAGTTCTACCCCACAACTACCCTGGCATTTCAAAGGTGCAGAGCTTCCTATTGTAAAGGAAGTAGACAAGAAAAAAAATCCCTCCCCGCGCCCCCCTACCCCCGGCCCTGCAAGCTGACTGGTTCCCTCCAATAACTGGTTGGAACTCAACACTCAGCTGAGAAATGAGTTGGAAGGTGGCTGCAGTGAAAGAGCCGCTGAAGAACGGGGTTGAGGAAGAGAGGGCTGGAATCCGGAGAGATGCGGCAGTGTGCAAAGGTGGGGAAGGCTCTGCCAACACCCGGTGTCCATCAGTCCTCGTCAAAGAGAAGAACAGTTCCCAAATGCCAAGTAGCCAAGGGGAGCAACCTCAGTACTTTCACAGGCCCCACTAAAGGCTGAAAAGTAAGCCGAAGTTCGGGAGGGCAGGAAATAAACAAATCATTATTGCCTGAGCCAGCCAGGTCCGGAAGGACTCCAAAGGTCCCTACTCATAAAAGAGATTTTATCAGTCCTTCCACCAACCCGAAGGAACTCAGTTGTCAAAGTTTTTTTTTTAGATTTTATTTATTTCTTTCTAGAGAGAGGGGAAGGGAGGTAGAAAGAGAGGGAGAGAAACATCAATGTGGGAGAGACACATCAATCAGTTGCCTCTCTCACATCCCCAACCAGGGACCTGGCCCGCAAGCCAGGCATGTGCCCCGACTTGGAATTGAACCCGCTACCTTTCGGTTCGCAGGCTGGCACTCAATCCCCTGAGCCACACCAGCCAGGGCAGGAACTCTGTTTTAAAAGAAACTAACCAACGTTCTTGACTGATCACTTGGCTTAAGCTCCTGCCTTAGGTGAAAAGGCAAGCTGCTTTTCCAGTGAGGAAATCCCATACGGTGGCCACTGTGGTGTCCCTTTGCTTAGCCTCGGCTCTCCTTACTCAGGACACTGGTCACCTCTGGTGCCCTCTTCCAGGTGCCCAGACCCCGTCTATAGGATTAACAAGTCTGCCGAGTACCCCCTGTCTCTACGTTGCCACCAGAAGATTTCAGCTTTGGAAAATTTAATATTGCAGGGAAGCGGCAGTCGATGTGCAGAGACTACAACAGGGAATCTCAAAATTTTAGAATTCGAAGGAACCTACCACATCTTACTTCCGAACACCTCATCTGTCTGACAGTGCACACGTCAAATCAGAAAGGGCTGTGACTTGCACAAGGTCATAGCGAAAGTCACTAGCAAAGTCCCAACTGGAGCCCAGGCTTCCAGATTCCCAGTCCAAGCTCTCATCGTACAGTAACACGGCCTCCCTTCTTTCCCCGCAGCAGTGCAGGCAGGCCAAGCCCACCTTCCCTCCCGCCCCCTCGCCCCCCCACCCCGGCCCAGGTCATCATCCTCTAGGGACCCCTCCCCCCGTCCCAACCCTCCTACACCCCGGCTGAGTTGCAGCTCTAATTAGCAAGTCTTAGAGCAGGTAGCCTTCCCTGGCAGGAACTGAAAAGCAGGGACAAGGGTGCAGGGAGGAGGGTGCGGAGAAACTGGGTCCTGACAGCAGCGGCAGCAGGCTGGACAAGGACGCACGCAGCAGCATCTCCCGAGAGCCGACCAACTGCTGGCACCACCTCTAAGGTGCTAGGAGGGGCTGGGCCCTGATGGGTAGGGACGCGCGGAGGATCTCCAAGTCCAAGTTGGGCCTCCGAGCGCAGCCTGGCAGAATGGCGCTGGCGTCGCGAGCAGGCCCTGCCAGCCTGTGGGCAGAGGCCCGACTACAGGATGCCCGGCCCGCCCGGGAGGTGGCACCGGTGACTCGCAGAGGCCCGCGGTCCCCACCAGTCACGTCAGCCGCTGCCGTCGCCCACCCTGACGCCCATCCTTCGCGCGGCCTTACCGAGGCATTGCCCCACCGGTGTGCTGAACGGGTTCCCCAGGAGGAACTCCATCTTGGGCGGACGACACGGCAGCGGCCCGAGTACCCTTTCAGCCGCCGGGGTCTCCGCAGTCCTCCGTGGCGCTCGGGACCTGACGGACACTTGCCTCCGCCCCACCCTCAGGAACGCTCGGCTCCTGATCTCGCTCCTGTCGCACCGCTATTGGGCGACGCCTGCCCGGTATTCCTCCGATTGGTCCTTGCACTGCCTCAGCGAAGCTCCACCTACCCCACGGCGTCCGATTGGGCGGAGGAGCAAGCTAAGTCACAGGAATCTCCGTCCGGCGCAGCGGCACCTCCTGCAGCCTGCCTCCGAACGAGACTGTGGATTTTAATTCATCAATATATTGGTCAATCTAGAATCCCTACCTTTATTGGAGAACAGACGAGTCAATCAACCAGGCAGGGGCGGGAAAATAGGCGTGGCTATTAGGATCCCCGCCCATAAAAAGTGCTGATTGGAGAAACATTTGTTTTCTCTATGGCTGGTTGGTGGTAGGAGTATTTCCCCACCCAGAAATAGTGTCACGTGACTTGTCAACTTTCACCCAGGATGTCCACCTCTTAACTTCCCCTTAGCAACGGAGTGGCGCCTCCGGGTTCCCCTAGCAACTGAGCGAAGCGTCAGCCGCGCTAACCAGCCGGGTGGCCTGCGCTTGAGAACGGTGAGACTCGAGCTGAAGCTCTGGGAGGACTAGCGGGGACAAACGGGGCCCGACTTAACTGACTTTTCTGACTTTTTTCTCCGAGGAGTCTGGCCCGGCCCTTCTCGTTTGTAAAATGAGCACACGGGTCAAAACACTAGTCCGGGCTTTCAGGCCTGTGGGTGAGAAGGAAATGCTGAGGAACCGTTTCCTCAGGGGGCAGGGCGCGAAGAGATTTTTAAGAGGTTCGAGCCCCTAGCCTTCTGGCCTGATCCCTTTATTAAAAAAGGCCCCAGAGGCGCGGCTGGTGTGGCTCAGTGGATTGAGCAGCGGCCTGTGAACTGGGAGAGTGCAAGGTCAGTTCCCACTGATCCGCGTTTCTCTCCTTTTCTTTCTTTCACCCTTCCCCTCGCTCTAAACATGAATACATAAAAACTTTTTTTAAAAAAAGGTACCAGAACGAAAGGTCCACTGATAACTTCAAGAATTCAAGTGACATCTTAATTGTCGTTAAATTATTTATCTTACTTTTATTCTTCATCTTGGCGCGATTTAAAGTGCTGTGGCTGGGCATATGGATCCTGGAGTCCCCTGTCTTTTTCTTGTCGGTCGCTCCTGGTGTGACTTGGAGACCCTCCTTCCCATTAGGGCATTAGGAATCTCTTGTCCAGCGGCCTCCAGAGCTGACCCGGATTAAATAACACACGTGCTCTTGGTGCCCAGCAAGCACGCAGAAGACTGTTGAGTGATAACTCGTGGCCAGCGGGGGCTCTTTTTCTTACCCAGTTGATCCCCGCTTGTCGTTTCCCGGACCACCCCGGGTCTGTTTCTCCGTGAGGAGCTGCCCCGCTGACGGGGGCGCATTCCCCACCTCCTACCTGTAGTCTTCACCAACAAAACTGCCAACAGGCAAGTCAAGAGGAACCCAGGCTGGGTGGTACATCACTGATAAAGTCCCGCTCGGGGGCGGGGGGGGGGGGCGTGTGCGGCCGGGGCGCGGACCCAGAGCCGCTGCCAGGACCATGGGGAGCTGGGCCCGCGGTGGCCCGCAGGGCCCTGGGACAGCCAGTCATGAGTAAGAAGAGGGCCCTGGAGTCACGTTCTCCTGCTTTACTCCATACTAGGTGCATAAACGTGGGCGTGTCACTTAGCCTTTCTCACTAGCTTCCATTTTCTTATCTGAAACCTGAATGACGAGTCCTACCTATAAAATAAGTTACAAAAGAAGTTCCGAGAGATCTCCCACATCCGCAACTCACCTCCACCGCGGTCATCTCTCGCCCCCACGACTCTTGCCCATCTCAGAAGGACAGCCAGAGCGAGCTTCTTAAAGTGAGAACCTGATCACGTCACTGTCGCTATTAAGCCCCAGGAGCTTCGCCCCAGGGACCCCGGGATAACAACAGAGCCGTAGGCCTGGCCAACCGTGCATCTCTCCAGCCAAAACGGAGCATGTCCCGCCCCCCCCTCCTCCGCGCCCTCCCCGGGGAGGCCCCCTCCCTTCTTTCCGACTCATCCTCCGGGTCTCAGCCTGTTCCCTCCGGCGGCCGGGCGCCCCTCCTGTATGCTGTCATCCTTCCCTACACCTACCAACCTGTCGAGCTTTGTAATTAAATATTGTATGATTATCCGATTCACTCTGAAACAACGGTAAGGAGATCGGTCTGTTGTAGTCATAACATGTAATAGTTATTCATTATGTGTGTGGACTAAATAAATGATCTTAAACAACTGTAGGAGGGAGGAATTATTCATCTTTTATAGATGGGAAACTCAAGGCTTAGGTGAGGTGAGGCGCCAAAGGATGCGCAGTCAGGACCCAGACCCTGCCCTCAGGGGCGTAAGCGCTGTTCCACGTGGCGGCTGCTGGGCTTGACGGGAAGCGCGCTGACCTCTCACAGGTGCCAGGCCTTGAGGACATGGAAGGGATGAGAAGTCAGAGCTTTGAAATCACGGTGAAGAATCATTTCCCAAGTGACAGCCTCTTTCTTTGAAAAAGCACAAACACTCTGCAGGTAACATCTTACGTAGAGCACACAAAAATTTCCCCAAAGGCAGCTTGGTGTCAAGTTATGGGAAACTTTAGAAAAATGTGTTTCAAAAGAGTGGGGCGATAGAGTTTGCTCTCCTCAGAGAACCAGAAGCATCTTTTGGGGGCAGGAGCGAATTGACCACCATACGGGGACGGAGCCAGTGTTGACAGTTCGGAGAGAATGGGAAGCAGAAGGTGCAGGTGGAGAAGGCGCGTGGGGTTAGGGGAGGCTGTGCTTCCTCTGGGGGTCAAAGGAAAGGGTGCATGAGAGTTGAAAGTGCTGGGACAATTGATCAAGCACAGTCCAGAAATGGAAGATGCATATTGGCATAAGCTGCATTCAAGTGGTTGGTGGGGGAGGAGGGAGGGAGGACAGCTGGGCAGAGGCGGTCTCTAGGACCAGGTGGCGGGATTGCCAGACCCACCCGGGGCTGTGGGGGGCACCATCAGCCCGCCATCAGAAATCTCTCCAGGTATCAGTGGATAAAGGGCAGGGTACGGGGGCTGCCCCAGGTCAAGGACTAGCAGAGCAGGGAGGACGGGAGGTTCAGGGAGGCTCAGACGCTGGGGACACACGCAGACAAAGGTATAAGGTGAAGTCAGCAGAGAGGCAAGAAGCAGAGGTGGAAAGCAGAAGGGAGAACTGAGTTCCAGAGGTTTCAGGAGCAGAATCTGGGAGTTTCCAGCAGATGGACAAGAGAGGGTGCCTTCTGGCAGGCCCAGCCCTCCTGGATGTTCTTACTTGATGGGCTCGTGATGAGGATGAGGTCAGGTGCCCTGGCTTCCCAGGGCTGGCCCTGCCCAGCCAGGAGCTGCAGCCCTGGCCAGCCTCGCAGTGCGGCTGACCATATCCACAGCTCCCGCTGTGCCTGAGGCATCTCAGCCACATCCCTTTGGACCACTAGCAACAGAAACCTGCTGGAGTTCGTTTCAGGAAAAGAGGATTTGATGCTAGAAGTCAGGAACCTCTCACAGAAAGGGACCACAGGAACCTTCACAGGGCCTGAAATTATGGACATTAGGGGCTGGAACGCCAGCAAGAAGAAGGCAGCCTCTGCCTGCGTCAGTCTGTCTGTCCTGTTATCTTTTTTTTTGTCCTGGATCATCCAGGTTCCATCTCTGCTTCTCTCTGTCCATCTGCCCCCCAGTCCCTCCCCAGCTCAAGCAGCCAACTGTGAGGGGCTCTCTTATCCTGAGGCCCCAAGCTCACATTCCTCAGGGGCAGAGCGTGGGTGACCAGCGTGGGTCAGTATCCACCTATACCCTGGGCTACTTGGGGTGAGTTGGGGGGAGGGACTTAGACATGACTGTCTGGAAGGGGCGAAGCTGTCAGGGAAGGCAGCTGTAGGCTGGTACGCCTGGCTGGGGCCGCAGATGATCACATTCAGTGGTTGGTGCCAAGAAACATGAACAATGGTGGGCATGGGAAGTCAAAGGCCCAAGGTGACCATGGTCAGAAGGGAAGCTGAGCTCCAGAGGCTCAGGGGTCCACTTGTCTGGGGCAGGCTCCCAGTGGTGGCGGTTGGGGCACCAGGCAGGTTGGGCGCACATGGTTGCTGGGGGAAGCCCTGGAGCAGCCTCAGTGCAAAGGTACAGCACTAACCCCCAGGGGCGGTGGGTCAAGCAGTGCTCCCCAACACCTTAACCGGATACCAGCCCATCCCGTCCTCAGACGAAGGGAGAGGTGGATTGTGGAGCAGGAACATGATGTTTTCTAGGGAAGATGAACCGGCTGTACAACTCCCTGGAGCCCAGAGTGATGGACGACGACATGCTGAAGCTGGCTGTTGGGGAGCAGGGCCCACAGGAGGAGGCCGGGCAGCTGGCCAAGCAGGAGGGCATCCTCTTTAAGGACGTCCTCTCCCTACAGCTGGACTTCCAGAGTGCGTACCCCGGCGTGGGGGGCACCACACAGGGCCCCCGGGCTTTCTCTGTTCCACATCCCAGACCCAGAATTCCACACAACTCTGTATAAAAAGATAAAACTCTCCCACCCCAAATCTAAATGAGCCACTAAGGCCTTCGGAGTGGGGACCTTGGCAAGAGGAACCCAGGCAGGTGGCCCCAAACCTGCTGGCATGAGCTGTGGGGAGGAGGCAGCCTCCTGGAAGAGCAGCTTTGCAGGAGGGGTACAAACCGGGAGCGGGTGGGGCCGCGGGGCCGGCGTTGCCACCAGGGTGTGGAGCCTCCTGGGAAGGTGTGGCGGGGGCCAGGCAGCTCCTAGGGCCTCAGCGTCCGCGTCTGGGAAACGGGATGATTGCAGCCCAGGCCAAGTGCCAGCTGGGAGGACGAGGTAAGAGGAGTGCCGTTTGGGGTTCACTGGGAAAGGCCAGTGAGGAGTGCGGACAGAAGCCCGAGAGGTCCTGGGCGCCTCCTGTGCTGGGCGGCGGCGCTCCCTCCTGGGTGCCTGTGCTGGCCTGCAAGCCATCCATTCAACAACAAGGATTCTTCCCTTTCTTTCTTCTTCTCTTCCTTTTTTTTTTTTTTTTTTTTTTTTTTGACTGGTTTTGATGAGGCGTTGCTTCCCTTTTTTAAACATTAAATTTATTGGGGTAACATTGGTTAATAGCATTGTATGAGTTTCAGGTGTACAACTTTATAATACAGCAGTTGTGTGCTCCGGTGTGTGCTCACCACCGAAAGTCTTGTCGTCTTCTGTCACCATTTACAAGTTGACCCCCTTAACTCTCTTCTTCCTTCCTGGGGCCCTGCCTCAGCTGGTCTGCGCCAGGCCCTGGGGACCCAGCAGCGGGCCAGGCCCTGGCCCCAGCCTCACAACGCCTGTGGGCCTCACCCGGGCACGGCCTCCAGGGCTGCCCTCAGCTCTGCAGGCGGGCCCCCGAGCCTTGGTGGTGAAAGGGTTAAAGGGTGGCAGAAGGGCTGTCGCCAGAGGGGGCTTTAGCATTGGCCACCCTCCCTTTGCCTCCCCTCCCCAACCTAAGGTCCAGTCAGCCAGTATCGATCAAGTGCCTGCTATATGCCAGGTGCTATTCTAGGTACTAGGGATTCAACTGTGAGCAGAAAGGACCAAAAAAAAAAGAAAAAGAAAAAGAAAAATCCTGTCCTCATGGAGCTGACGTTCAAGTGAAGGACACAAGTAAAATGAAGGAAAATAATAGTGTCTGCTAAAGGTGATATGTGTGATAGAGAAAAATAAAGTAAAGGGGCGGATTGCGGGGAGGGACCAGGGTTTTATGGGGTGGTCAGAGGCATCACCATCACCAAGAAGGTGAAATTGAGCAAAGACTGGAGGGAGGGGAGGGGAGGAGCCCCTTGGAGATCCAAGGCAAGTGCTGAAGGCGGAGGCAGGGCCAGTGTGCTGACCTGGCAGCGGAGAGGCAGCGGTCAGTCAGCATCTGCCTGGGGGCTGGGGGGCTGGGGTTGCATGGGAAGTGCCGGGGCCCTGGCACGGCCCTGAGCACAGCAGGGCAGGCAGGATGTAGGTTTTCACAGGGTCCGGAGGCTGTGGGGGGGGGGTGACGGTGGGGCCCGCAGGCTGGAGCAGGGAGCCCTGGAGACCGCCGCTGTTGCGGCCAGGGACCAGGAGGGTGGCAGTAGGGGACAGCTCCGTGTCCATGTGGAAGATCAAATTGGCTTTTTGGGCAGTCCTGTCATGCTGGTAACTCCTTTAGAGCAAACTGCCAAATACATTCTGGTTTTGTTGTGTTGTTTTGGCTTTTCCACAAGAACTGCTGGCATGTCGGGAAAGCCACCATGCCAGTGTGCTGGGCAGAGCACCCAGGAGCGCAGGAGCCACCCAGAGCAGTGGCGTCTGCAGGAAGCCAGCCACAGCCATGGGCTGTCTGTCTGAGGCAGGGCCGCAGACGGTGCCAGCAAAACCCGGACCCGGATGGGAGGCCCCTGAGGTCCCGAGCGGGAACAGGGCCCAGCCCAGGGGCACAAGGAGGGGCTGTAGCTGGAATCATTCTGGGAAACCTGGTCCCAGAGCTGGGAACAGACCCCAGCCCTGCCTGGCCCTGGGCCCCCAGGAGGGGCGGGGCCTGGGTCAGAGAGGCACTGCCTGCATCTGCTGCCCCGTCTCCTGCCCCCCGCAGGGAGGCCTGGCTTAGAGGGGCCACGGGAGGGCCGCACAGCCTCAGGGCACAGGCTGGCCCTCTGAATGAGTATGGACACTGCCGCCTGCTGCCTGAATGTGCGGTTAGTGAGGGCGCCTCTTTTCCCCTTTCACTTAGGTATTGATATTATTTCAGTCTTTTAATGAGCCTATTCTAAGCTTTAGAAATTATTACAAAAACACATATAGACAAAAGGGGCATATAAGCAACCGAGTTATTTGTAGCTTCTGGAAAAACCTGGGGACAAGTCTTGGCCTCTCAAATTTTACGTGCACAGACTATACTTATTCACACTTAAATGTTTTCAGAACTCTCTGTCTGCCAGTGACAGAAGCCAGCACACCGGGGGTACGGGGCAAAGGGGACGGGCTGGCTGGGTGAGCGTGCAGGTGGTCCCCAGGGGCCACAGGGTCGGGCGCCGCGGGGCAGGACCGGCCTGCCTCTCTGTCGCATGAGCGGCTTATCCTACTCTCCGTATCCGGGCTCCCCCTGTCCTCCTGCCCCTCAGGCGCCAGCACTATGTCTTCAGGCACATACATAAGTGTGTCTTGGCAGACAGATTCCAAGTAGAGGAACTTCAGGGACAAAGGGCACAGACATTGAATATTTCAGCAAACGTGGCCAAATTGCCCTTTAAAATACCTGAACTGGTTGATCGACCATCCCACCAACAGCACACAAGGAGCACTCACCCTGCAGCCTCGACTCCCCTTGTCACACTGCAGAAGGAAGAAGGAGGAGCCCTGCCTGTGTCTGGTGCCCCAAGTGGTTCTGGCTTCCTGGGCTGCCCACAGCCTGGCCCTGGAGGCAGCATGAGTGAGTCCCGTGCCCTGAGCAGGTCCAGCCCACCTTCCTACTGACCTCCCTGTGACCCCCATGGACCTGTTCGCCGTGCTGTGGCCCTGGGCACCGATCAGCACCCTCTGCACACCAACAGGGGCTCAGGGCTCCGCGGCGCTCAGCCCTCATCTCCAGGGTCCCATCTGTGCCAGCGCCGGGCAGCGGCGTTGGGGAGCCTCGTGTGTGTTCGGTCGGCATGGTCGTCGTGGTCGGTGCTCTGGTAGCCAGCTGTCCCCTGAGGCCGAGGCGTCTCCTGATTGTTGCAGACATCCTCCGCATTGACAACCTCTGGCAGTTTGAGAACTTGAGGAAGCTGCAGCTGGACAATAATGTCATTGAGAGGATCGAGGGCCTGGAGAACCTCACGCACCTGGTCTGGCTGGGTAAGGCCCTTTCTGTGTGCGTCTGCCCCAAATGAAGGCACCGCCGTGCGAGGCGGGACTGGCCAAGGTTGTCTCCCCAGGCAACACTCTGCTGCCAGCCCACCGTGAGCCCAGGTGCAACAGCAGCTCTGGCCTCAGGGACCAGGAAAGCTGCTCTTTCTAAGAGCCCAGGGCCTGTGCTGGGTAAACACAGCAAAATGTGCTTGGGCACCCAGGACGGGGCGCTCTGCCCCCACCGGTCAAACTGCCCATTTGGGGATGGGTGGTGTCAAAGGAGCAGCCTTGGGTTCCTTCTGGTTCTCTAGACTCAGGTTGACAGGTAACTGTGGGTCCCCAGTCATGGGGACTCAGATCAGACCAAAAATAATCATCACAGCTGCCACTTGCACTGAGCTCTGCTAAGAATGGGCCTGTATGCTTTCCATGTGAGGTTTGCTTTTTTTTTAATCCTCACCCAAGGACATGTTTATTGATTTTAGGAAAAGGGGAAAGGAGGGAGAAAAACATTGATCGGCTGCCTCCCACACACACCCTGAAGGGAATCAAACCCACAACCCAGGTGTGTGCCCTGACTGGGAATCAAACCCACCCCCTTTCAGTTCATAGGACGGTGCTCTAACCAATTGAGCCACACCAGCCAGGGCTCCATGTGAAGTATTTTAATCCACACAGCATCCCCATTGTAGAGATGAGCAAACTGAAGTCACAGCAAGTGGGGGGCATCAGGCTCCAGCCCAGCTCTGTCTGACTCTAGAGCTCTCACTGCGCGGACTGCTGGGCTCTGCCTGCTGCCCTTAGGAGGCAGCCTCACGTCTGGCGAGGGGCTGGCTGGAGAGCTCGTCATAGCCTGGTCTTGTTTAGCTACCACAGCCACCCTGGAAGACCTGTTACAGTTCCAATCTACAGAAGTTGAACCGGGGCTCCGGTAGACCAAGGCACTGAGCCAAAGCTCCAGGTCCGAGAAGTAGCAGAGCTGGGATACAAACCCATGCCCGTCTGACCCCAGAGCCCATGTTCCGTTTATCCCTTGAGGCTGCTTCCCCCCCAACAGGCAGCCTGGAACATTGAGGAACATCCAGTTCGCACAACAGCCGCAGCTGCGATGGCTCTGCCGGCTGCCAGCCCACAGCAGGCCCATAGGCAGGGTCCTGCTGCGGTTTCACCTGCGCGGCAGCCGAGGCGCAGAGGCTGGCAGGCTTGCAGGTGTCTCAGGCTGCAGGTGGTGGAGGCCGGCACAGCCTCCCATCTGCCGGCCCAGGCCCCTCACTCCAGGCGTCCGCTTTTGGCACGCTAGCGCCCATTCACGAGTGGCCCGGCTGCACACTAGAAGCCGTCTGTCCCTCCAGGAGGTGGAGGAGGAGAGGGTGCTGGGCCAGCCCAGACCCAGGGCCACGCCCCCTGGGCAGGCCTCCGGCACCAGCGGTCTAATGCTGTGCTCTTAGGCCTGGCCACTAGTCCCAGGCCCAGCGCTCCCTCGGACAGAAAATCATCGCTGCAGGTCCCTAGGAGGTGCTCTGTGTTGCCCAGCATTCTGTGGAATGGTAACGAGAAAGCAGAGGGGGAAATTTCTAGCAAAAGGCAGCCTGCGCCTGTCAGAGAGTCAAAAAGCAGCCTTCATCCAGCCCCAGCATAGGCGGTCCAGGCACCCACAGACAGCAGGAGCGAGCCGGCCCCACACGAGGGGGCGGGGCGATGGCGCTCCGCGATTCCGTGTGGCCCCTGCCCACGTGCACATGCCCTGTTGGCCGCCGGCCAGGCAGCTGCCCCCGGGGTGCGGATGTGTGGACGCTGGCGGTGCTGGCTCCGGAAGGCTGACGATCATCCCACTTCGCATTCAGGGATGCCTTGCTAGTGGCTCGAAAGTAGCCATAGTGGGAGTGTTGTTCCATAGGTGTCGGCAAGCGAAACAACTCAGAACTTCCCTCCTCACCCCCTATCCTGTCCAACAGTCCCCGGCAGCACTGGCCCTAGTGGGTGGGGCCAGGCCTCCAAGGACCAGAAGTGGGCTGCGCAATCGAAGAGGGAAGGGGCCGGCTCGGCAGTCGGCAGACCCCAGGTTTTATCCCAGCTCTGACAATGGACAGCCAACTTTGCGCAAGGCATTTCAGCCTCTAAACCTCCATTTCTTTATGTGCTGTGTGATCTTGGGCACATTACCACCAGGCCCCTTTAAATCTTGGTTCCCTCATCCATAAAATATAGGTGGTGATCCCTATGCTGGGAGGATTAAATGAGGTAATGCACCTACGGGCCTACCACAGAGAAAGGAACAATAAATTATCATTAGTCTCAGCTGTCAATGGGCAAGCATCCCCTGACTTACCAAGGAGACTCAGTTAAGATGTGGATAAACTGACTTTTCAAATCGCCTTTGTAATGTGGCAGCCGGCAGCCATCATGATCATGTTTCCAAGCTCATGAAAAATCCCCGGTTTGGGCCTCTGGGCCATCGGTGTTCCAGGACGGGGTTGCAGCCCCATCCCCGACCAGAAACCTGCGGTGGAGAAATAGCGGTTTTATTCCCAAAGATGTGACACTTGGGCTAGAGCGGTCATGACACATCAGGTGGACGTTGGCTCGGGGGAAGCTCGAGGCAGCTGGGGGAACCTGAAGAGCCTGGCCGGCCCTCCGCCCAGGGGAGCCCTGGGTCGGCCCTGGCACCACCGGCGTTAGCTGCGTGGCTTTGGGCAAATCACGGAGACTCTGAGCTTGAGCTCTCCAATCGAGCGAGCAGGGAGAAAATTCCAATCTGCCCCTCGGAGCTGTTGTCTGGGGATATTCACACAAGCGCTTGATAAACTGGAAAATGCAGCGCAGGCAGGAGGCGTTTCTACTGAAACGCCCACAGGAGTGCGGGAAGCGGGCACTGCCTGCCCCACCGCAAGGGGCACTGTGGCCGACCCGCCAGGGAGCGCTTCCCTCTGAGAGCAACGGCAGAGCACAGCCCTGAGTGTTTGCCCCGGTGTCCCCAGCCAGGAGGATGAGTGGCAGAACGGGAGAGGGCAATGAAAATTTCGGGCCACAGGAGGGAATCCACGCACAGCTCCTAGAAAACCAAATCTGTCAGACAGGCGGCTCCGGCCAACACCGTGGCGCTGGCTCAGAGTGCACGAGTAGCCCCGACGGGTTGTTTCAGGATGCGCCACACCGTGCCCATTGCTCCATCCTCATGGCCCTCTTCCTTCCAGACCTGTCCTTCAACAACATCGAGGCCATCGAGGGGCTGGACACCCTGGTGAACCTGGAGGACTTGAGCTTGTTCAACAACCGCATCTCCAAGATCGACTCTCTGGACGCCCTGGTCAAGCTGCAGGTCCTGTCACTGGGCAACAACCAAATCGGCAACATGATGAATGTGAGCTCAGGCCCCGGCAGAGTGTGGGGCTGGCCCCGCAGGGCCCAGAAGCTGCCAGGGGCCAGTGGGTCATGACAAGGGGAAGCACAGGCTCAGCCTTTTGCAATAGATCTCCCCCTTTTCCTAGAAAAGCCAGAAATCCTGATTAGGTTTGATAATGTTTGCACAACATGCTTAGCTTAACCCCTGACCACCCGCCTGTGGGTGCCAGTTCACTCCCTGCCTCGGTGGGGCCTGCTTCTTTCCTGGACCCCACACTCAACTACCCTTCGCCGCGGCGAGGGCCTATTTGGTGCGGGCGTTTGGCCTGTGCTCAGTGGGCACAGAGACCCACAAGGTGCAGCCTCTTGGGAGAGCCCAGCATACACCTACATCATCAAGACACACAAAGTGACAAGAAGCTGGTCTACGCGGGGTGCCAGGGGTGTGTTTGTGTGAGGGGGCAGAGGTCGCCGGTCGTTCGGGGGAAGGCGGGCTGCCCCATCCATCCCCACGATGGGTTCCCGGTAGCGAGCTGGGGCCAGGATCCCAGTGGTTGGGGCTGGGGCAGCATTCATACCGGTTCTGTGTCAGAGGGGACATTCCTAGACAGCTCGAAGGACAGGTCGCCGCTGGGAATTGCCTCTCCAGCCTGCCAGTCAACCCTGGGAGCTGCCCCATACCCTTTTGAGACTCCTTTTCTGCTTCAGTCAGTCGGGTGGCCTGGGCCCCAGTCCCAGCCACAGGCCGCAGGCCCGAGCCTTCTGCGCCTCAGTTTCCTCAGGGGTAAAATGGAGACAAAGGCCGTAACTCAGCTGCCAGGGGTTGAGTGAGAGGCTGAGCGGGAGGCACATCATTCGGTGTCAGGCTGGAGTTTGTTCTTCACAAAGGGAGGATTGTCAGAGCCGAGATCCCTCCTGAGAGTGTCAGGTGAGGTGAGATGACTTTTGAATCGGATTCACTAAAAGGTGATTGGAATTTTGCCGTGGAGCAGAAGGAAGAACTTCCCGGGAGCAGGGATGCCGGGAGCGAAGGGCAGGAGGTGCGCTCAGGATGCTGCCTGGGGATGCGCAGCCACCTGGCGGAGCACAAGGCCCCAGGGCGGGGCGGGGTGAGGGCGGGGCAGCAAAGGGGCGGGGTGGAGGCTTTGTGCTAGGTGTGCCCAAGGCAAGCCTGGGATTGGAAGGAGCCCCACCACTCCCATGAGGATGGATGGAGTGGGATCACAGGAGTGGGGGGAGCCAGGATGGCCCCATCAAAGAGGCGCTTTGCCTGAGGCAGGTGGCTCGGGGGCAGTGGTGCTTCTGGCAGGTGACCTCTGGAGGCTGCAGTGAGCCAGAAGGCAGGGAGAGCCCGCGTGCAGCGGTGTACTGAGGCGGCGGCTGCGGGGGCCGGGCCATGGGAGTCTGCAGACAGCCTTCCAGAGGTGCACAGCTGGAGGACTGGGCCTGAGGCACTTACCCCCCAGCAGCCGAGGGGCGCCCTGGGAATCAACTCCCTGCTGCCCATGCTTCGGGGCGGGCCTCGGGGAGCCAAGGCAGAGAGCAGGGCCCGGACGGGCTCCATAAGCAGGAATCCATCACAGCTGTGGCTGAAGCCGCTGCCAGCAGTGGGGACCTTCAGCTCCATGACTGCCGGCTGCTCTGAGAAGGGACAGGCATGGCCAGGGCTTCAGGACACAGGCTCCTGCTGTCCCGCAGCTCCGCTGTCCTCAGCGTCCCCTGGGCAGACTCCCTCCACGGTCATGGTCAGCGCTCAAGGCCACAGGCTTCTTCATCTGCGTGTGGCAGCACAGAGAGCACAGAAAATCTCCCTTGAACAGTGACTCTTAAGTTTAACCACGGCCCTCGACCGGCAGCCGAGCAGGGTCGCTTAGAGTAGTAGCTGGGGCCCAACACCTGCACTTAAGCCTGTGCGGGGGGCCCGAACCCCGGACGCCATGCAGCCCAGGCCGCTCGCCCTGCACACCGAACAGGAGGATGTAAACCCAACCAGCAGCCTTTTCGGGGTTCAAGGCTTGATCACGCAGCCTCCCTCTGCTTCGTGGCGGCGGGGCACCCAAAGCCGGCCAACAGGGCTGCTGCATGTGCACGGTCCCCGTAACGAGCCGAGAGCCCAGATTTAATCGGCTCCCAACTGTCTGAGCTTGGGCCAGGCACTTGGCATTCTGGGAGCCCATTCCCCATCTGTAAAATGAGAATAACAGTAGTCTCCCCTATAGCTTGTTGTGAGGGTTCAATCAATCAGACAGTGTCAAATAACCAACATAGGACCTGGCATGCAGAGGTACATGGAAAGTGTTATTCAAGAGTTTTCGGATTAAGTGCTGCCCCCCAGCAGCCCTAAATCCTGCTGTTGGTGAACCTTTCTGAACACTTAGCAGCTGTTCCTGCCGAGGGAGGTCCGATACCCCCAGGCCTGCAGGCGAATGGCCCCCTCTGATTTGTTACCCCTCAGACATCGGAAGCTTCCGTGGACCCGAGGCCCTGTCCCTTTACAAAGGTCCAGGCCCGGGCACCCCCTCCCTCCCCTGGCCATGGGCACTCTCTCATTCTACCCTGCAGGGCTGGGCAGGAAGAAACCCCCAGAGTGGGGAGCCGGGGGCCAGGGGGCCTCTCGCGAGTACGAGAGAGAGGCGGGCAAGGCCAGTCCCCCAGAGAGAGAGGAGGCGGGGAGGCACCTGGGGGAAGCTGCCCAGGAGTACTGAGGCATCTGGGCCCAGGCCTCCTTGTCCTGGGGGTCGGGCCACACCCCAGAGATGCTGGGGTCCCTGCATCCTCTTTAGCTAATAAGGTGCCAGCTCCTTTGGTGACTTGACCCAGAGTCTGACTTAGGAAGCTGCAAACCCCGAGCATCTATGATTTCAGCCCTTCTCTACACTATGTGTCTGACATCAAATTATAGACTTTCTTGGTATTTATTTATTTACCAGGCTAATTTTAATAAGTGCTTATCGCATCGCAAACTCACACATGTTTCGGGAGGACTCAGGGCACACGGGGCAGAGCCCCGCCCACTCCTGGCCTCAGTCCGAGCCTCCCCTTCCCGGGGCCTCAGCTGCTGCTGAGTAGGCACCCTGTTTCAGCGCCATCTCTCCAAGCACTTGCCTTCAGCCACCCCGTCTCTGCTGGACCATTCCATCGCTTAGACGTGGCGTGATATATTTTTCCAGTCCCCCACACGTGGGCACAGAGGCTGTTTCCAGCCTCGAGCCATTGTGCACAGGCTGCAGTGGACGTCCTCGCATGGGGCTTGCTTCGCACCCGGACGAGTCCATGTGCCAGGTGACTTCCTAGAGGTGGAACTGCTGGGTCTGAGGACATGTGCATTTTTTATGTTGCTAGATCTTGCCACGCTGTTATCTATAGAGATGAAACTATTACAGACCTAGCAGCAGTCGTGAGAAGGCATGTTTCCTCTCACCCTTACAACACACTTTGTTATCAAACCATTCTCTCTTTAAACAATGTAAAAGATGAATAAATGGAATTCCCCTGGGCGAGCTCTTAAAAATTAAATCACATCCTATCTCCCCACACCATATGCACTTAAAACTCCAAAGGCTTCCATTGTCCTTAGAATGAAATCCAAGCTCTTGACTGCAGCACTGACCCAAGTCTTAGGTGACCCGGCCCGACCTTGCTTCCAGTCCCGCCTCAGGCCCTGCCCGGTGCCCGCCCTGGCCCAGCCACAGCCACCCTGGCCTCCCTCGGGACCTGGAGCGGGCCTCAGGCTCTCCTGCTTCGGCCTTTGCCTGCACTGCTTTTGCTTCCGGCTCTGCGCCCTCCCCTGCCCTCGGGAGACCAGCCCCGGCAGGTCGGGGACCTGAGTTCCCTCACTGAAAAAGGCCTCCCTGTTATTTCCTTTCTGGCCCATCTTTTTGTTTCTATAGTGCTTACCCCAAATGTAATTATTTTGTTTACTTTAAAAAACATTCTTATCCCTGCCCCTGGAATGGAAGTCCTTCCTACAAGGGCAGGAACCATGGGCTCCCCCTGACTCCCCAAGGCCTGGCACGTGTCTGCGGCCAGTAGGTGTGTATGTTGAATGAATACATGAATGACTGAAAGAAATTCCTTCAAGAAATTCCAGACAAGCATGCTAGATTCTTTTTCCTACCTTTGCAGTGTCTAGGTATTTCCTACCTTCCTAGTGCAGTGTCTAGGTATTCGGGAGATGCTATCAAATGAGACAGGGGCACACCTAGGAGATTCTGCAGGCTTGGCTCCAGACACCTCCGTAAAGCCAGTATCCCATTCAGTGAGTCATGCGAATTTTTTGGTTTCCCAGTGCACATAAAAGTTGTGTTCATACAATACCATAGTCTATTAAGAGTGCAATAACATTATGTCTAAAAACAATGTACATACTTTAATTTAAAAATACTTTATCGCAATAAACTCATGGATATTGACAATAGACAGAATAGTAGTTAACAGCGGGGAAGGGGAGGGCGGGAGACAAAAAGGGCCCTGTGCGTCCAATACAACGTGACAAAGGACACGAAGCTTCTGGTGGTACAACAGAGTGTGCAGATGTTGTAATACGCACACCTGAAATTTATCTAATGTTCTTCAGCAATGTTACCCCAGTCAGTTTAATTTTCAAACTTTCACTATAAAAAATACTTTATTGTTAAAAAATGCTAACCACCATTTGAGCCCTCAATGAGCTGTCATTGTTTTGCTGGTGGAGGCCATGCCTGACATCGGTGGCTGCTGACCGAAGGCTCGGGCGACGGTTTCTTGAAATCAGACAGCCGCGAAGTTTGCGGCATTGAGCGACTCTTCCTTTCGTGAATGATTTCTCTGTAGCATGTGATGCTGATTGATAGTATTTAACTCCGGCAGAACTTCTTTCAAAATTGGAGTCAGTCCCCTCAAAACATGCTGCTACTTTATCAGCTAGGTTTATGTAATGTTCTAAATCCTATGTTGTCTTTTCAACAATCTTCACAGCATCTTCACCAGGAGTAGTTTCAGTCTTAAAATACCACTCTCTTTGCTCATCCACAGGAAGCAACTGCTCACCTGTTCAGGTGCCACCAGGAGATGGCAGCAGTTGAGTCACAGGTCCAGGCCCCACCTGTAATTCTCCTTCTCTTGCTGTTTTTACCACGTGTGCGGTTACTTCCTCCACTGAAGTCTGAGCCCCTCGAAGTCAGCCATGGGGGGTGGCGTGAACTTCTTCTGAACTCCCGTTAATGTTGATATTCTGAGCTCTTCCCATGAATCACAAATGTTCTTAATCGCATCTACAAGGGTTTTCAATTACTTTGCTCAGATCCATCACAGGAATCACTATCTATGGCAGCTGTAGCCTTACAAAATGTATTTCTTAAGTAATAAGACTTGAAAGTCAAAATCACTCCTTGACCTGGGGCTGCAGTGTGGACGCCGGGTTAACAGGCATGAAAACAGCACTAACCCCATTGCACACCTCCCTCCATCAGAGCTCTTGGCTGGCCAGGTGTGTCATCAGTGAGCAGCAACACGTTGAAAGGAGTCTCTTTTCCTGGGCACAGGTCTCAATAGTGGGCTTAAAATATTCAGTAAACCATGTTGTAAACAGATGTGCTGTCATAGAGGCTTTGTTGTTCCATTTATAGAGCACAGGCAGAGCAGATTCAGCATAATGTTAAGGGTCCTATTATATTTGGAATGGAAAATGAGCACTGACTTCAACCAAAAGTCACCAGCTGCATTAGCAGCTAACAAGAGAGTCAGCCTGTCCTTTGAAGCTCTGAAGTCAGGCACTGACTTCTCCTCTCTGGCTATGAAAGTCCTGGATGGTGTCCTCTCCTAATACAAGACTTCTTTGTCTACAATGAAAATATGTTGTTATTACCTTCATTAGTTATCTTAGCTAGATCCTCTGGCTGACTTGCTGCAGCTCCTACATAGGCACTCGCTGCTTCATCTTGCACTTTTATGGTATGGAAATGGCTTCTTTCCTCAAACCTCATGAAGCAGCCTCTGCCGGCTTCCAACTCTCCTCCTGCAGCTCCCTCACCTCTCTCAGCCTTCAAGAGTTGAAGTGAGTTAGGGCCTTGCTCTGGATTAGGCTTTGGCTTCAGGGAATGTGCTGGTTTACCTTTCTATACAGACCACCAAAACTTTCTCCACAGCAGCAAGTAGGCTGTTTCACCTTCTTATCAGTCATGTGCTCACTGGAGTATCTTCTCCTTTGCACTCAGAGCTTTGCTGTCTGGCACAAGAGGCCTAGCTTTTGGCCTATCTTGGCTTTTGACATGCCTTCCTCACTAAGCTTAATCGCCTCTAGCTTTTGATTTAGAGTGAGAGACATGTGACTCTGCCTTTCACTTGAATGCTTACACGGTATTAATTGGCTTGATTTCAGTATTGTTGTGTCTCAGGGAATAGGGAGGCCCGAGGAGAAGCAGGGAACAGGCGGTCGGTGGAGGAGTCAGAACACACGCCTCATTTATCGATTAAGTTCACTGTCTTTTGTGGGTATAGTTTGTGGTGCCCCAAAGCAATTACAATGGCAGCATTAAAGGTCATTGATCACAGACCATCATAACAAATATAATAATAGTAATATTAATACAATTTGAAATATTGTGAGAATTACCAAGATGTGACACAGAGACACTAAGTGAGCAAATGCTGTCGGAAAAATGGTGCCAATAGACTTACTCAATGCAGGATTGCCACAAACATCCAATTTGTAGAAAACAGTGTCTGCAAAGCACCATAAAGCAGAGCACAGTGAAACGAGGCACGTGGGTACTAGCTATGTGGTTGACTCCCCCTCATTTTAATAAAAATAGAGCGTAGGAAAAATAAACAGCAGTTAGTGGAATATTCCGCTGGCTGTTAACCAGTTGATTCAAGGTTAATTATAAATTGAGTTCCGTCTGACTTAAGAAATTTGGACTTTTCCCACAAGGCTTTAGGGTCTAAAAAGGCACACCCATGCTGAGCAGCCAGCAGTAATGACAACACTCCTACCACCTAGTAGCTGTCAGGCACTCTCCCACACGCACTTCATAGGTTATTTCATTCGAGTCTTACAACAAATATATTACACAACATCCTCATACCCATTTTATAGATGAGGAAGTTGAGGCTCGCAGATGTTCAGTAACTTGTCTGTGCCACAGCTAGCATTTAAACTTGGGCCTACTGACTCTTCGGAAAGCCCAGGCCAGACCGCAGGCCTCCGTACAGGCGCCCAGCCCGGGGCGCCCAGCCTGGGACCCCCAGTGCTCCCCTCCCTGTCACCCCAGCCAGTGCAGAAGTGGTTATGGCCCGGCGCTAACCCTGGCACAGTGCCAAAGAGCGCCTGCCAGGAGCTCTGCGGCAGCCGAGAAAAGGGATCTTCTCCCCTCTCCTCCCCAGATCATCTACCTGCGGCAGTTCAAGGACTTGCGAGCGCTCAGCCTCTCCGGGAACCCCATCGCCGAGGCAGAGGATTACAACATGTTCATCTGGGCCTACCTTCCCGACCTCGTGTACCTGGACTCCCGGCGCATCGACGACCACATGGCAAGCATCTCCTTCTGGCCTCCCAGTTCTGTGAGACAGTCTTCAGGTCCCCTGGTTTCGTGGAAAGGGCACTGAGGCAGAGAGAAAGGGCAGCGCCCTCTTCCTAACTCTCACCTGCCTCCGTCAGAGCGACTCCAGCAGGCCCCTCGTGGTCACTGGACAGGGCTGGCTCACGGGGGCAGGCTCCGTCCTCGTGCTGCCTGCGGGCCCCTCACGGCCATTACGGGGACCCCTGTTCGTTCACCTGGGCACGTTTCTCTGCCTCCCCGTCCTGCTGCCTCTCTGTAATTGTTTCTGTGCATTAGGTAGAGCTGCTATGCCTCCCAGTCTTGGCATGAGGCCTTGTGTAGTAGGTGTCCTGTGGGGCTCAGTGGCACCTGATCACCTGAGCCAGGCGCTCCAGAAATGTCCCCAGTGTGGGTTATGTGAACCTCCCACGGCAGTTGAGTCTTGATTGGTGCTGGCTCCTCCATGGGTGGGGGTCACCCCAGGCGGCCTGGCTGTGAGCGCTGACCCGGCCTTGGGGCTGTGTGGGTTCTGGCCCCATGAAGTAGAACCCAGCGCAGCAGGGCCTGTGCCTGCCGAGATCTCCCTTTGGATGGGCCAGTTGTGGAGCTCACTGGATCCTGCTCTGACGTGGTCTGAATCCTACCACCAGCTGCGTGGCATCTGGGGCCTCTTAGGAGGGATCCAGCGCGGGTCTGGGTCAGGCGCTGCCTGGGACCAGCCCTGGGCTGCCTGTTTGGAGCCACAAAGCGATCCACAGTTTGCGGCTGCCTCTGCTGGGCCTGGCTGGGCGTGGGGGGGAGATTGCTCACCAAGGTCGGCTTCCCCAGCACCAAGCCCGGGGCAGGCCAGCGAAAGGTCCGAGACACCAGACTCCGGAGATCTGCTTCCGCCTGCTGGCTGCCTGTTAGGCTCAGTCACTGAAAGAGCCTCTGGCGCCTGCGAGGAGTGTGCGGCAGGCTCTCAGGGATCCCCGGGTAGGAGCGAGTGCTGTTCACCAGACTGACGCTGGACCGGCCGCTCAGCGAGAGTCTCAGTGCACAGCAGGGTCGGTCGGCCCTGTGGACCTTTGGGTGGGCGGGGTCTCCGGGAGTCCTCTGGGTGAGGCCGGCAGCGTCCATCAGGCCCAGACAGACCAAGGTCGGGCCGACTGTATGACGGGGGGACTCTGCACAGGAACGGCAGCACGGGTCTGCGGGGCGGGTGGGTGGGGCGGGTCGGCACGTGAGGGAAAGGCGGCCCCTGCCCTGGGCACAGAGTTCACTCTCTCCCTCCTGAGAGCCCCCCAGGGGAGGCTGCACCCAGGGCCACGCAGGCCTCAGCCAGCTGACTTCTCTTCAGGGAAGGGCAGGGCGTGTGGCTGGAAGATGGGCGGGTGGGGTTAGCAGATCTCCTGGCGGGGGGTGGGGGGGGTGGCGCGACCGGTCAGGGTGAGCGGTGGGGGTCAGAGTGGCCCCCTCCCCAGAGCTACACAGCTGAGCCTCCGACACCCCAAAGTTTGCCCTCAAGAGCCCTCCCAGAAGGTCTACACCATGGGCCCAAACCCTCAGAGCCATTCTATACTCTCTGATTTTCCTGATGAAGTTGAGGAGACAAAACGTGAGGCTCCACAGCCATGGCAGAGCCAGGGTTCATCCCCACTCTGTGTACCCCAGAAACAGCACTGACAGCTAACTGCTGTTGTGCCCAGCAAATTGCATTATTCCCCATTGTTTTCACCACAATCTATGAGGCAGGCCCTGCTCTCAGCCCCACTGGCCGACGGGAAAGCGGTGACAAGTGAGATGACTCCCCCAGGATCACACGGCCACTGCCGGTCAAGCTGGGCACTGACCCAGGCCGTCTAGCAGCAGAGCCTGTGCAGGACTCCCCAGCCAGGGGTCCTTTCCCCGTCCACCGCCGGGCTTGTCCACTGCCCTCTGTCCACTGCCCCCTTCTTTCCCACTTCCCCTATTACAAGCTGGTCTCCTTTCACTTGCTTCTCATTCTTCACAGTGTGATCCGTTTGTGGGAATTGCCACCACTGGAAAAAGAGAACGTGCCAGTTTGTGAGGCTTTGGGGTGCCCCTCTGTGCTGGGAGCCAGGGAGACTGAGGACTGTTTGTCCTGCCCACTGCTTCTCACAGGAAGCTGGTGCCTTCCTGCGAGGGAGGAGCCTGCCTGCGTTTGCGGCAGGCGCACTGGCATGCGGGGGCCCCGGGGGTCGGGGCAGGAAGGAGGTCTCCACACTGATCCTCCTGGGCCTGGGCCAGGGAGCAGAGCCCCAGGGGGACCATGCTGCGCTCTGAGCCGGAAGCTCTCCACCAGCATTTCGCTTTGGCAAAACCATGGGCAGACCCACCCTGCACGATTCCAGAGCCCTTCCTAGGCACTCTCTCCTCGGTCCCCAGAAGTCTCTGTAAAGGGCAGGCAGCACAGCCGGAGCATCCCCACTGTGCTGTGAGGGCGCGAAGGCTGCTTCAGGGTTCAGAGGTCTGCCTAGAAGCATGGAGATAAATAATAAGTAAAAAGCCGAGTTCTCCCCTGCCCACTGTGGCTCAGTTGAAGCACTGCCCTGTAACTGAAAGGTTGTGGGTTCGATTCCCGGTCAGGGCATATGCCTAGGTTGCGGGTTCCATCCCTGGTCGTGGTACACACGATTCCTGGTCCGGGCATGTATGGGAGGCAAACCCATCGGTACGTCTATTTCACATCGATGTTGCTCTCTCTCCCTTCCTCTCCCTCTAAAGCAATGAAAAAAAAGTTGCCAAGTGAGGATAAAAAAACAAAAAAGCCAAGCTCTGCAAAGCAGGAGACGCTGTCCTCATCACTGTCTGTCCTGGGCCAGCCGCAGCCTGCGCAGCCGCCGGCCTCTCGGCGCTGCAGGGTCCGGCAGCGGGACAGCTGGGCCCAACCGCAGGCCAACCACGGGCCTAGGGCAGGTCCTCAGGGTACCTCTCCGCTCCAAGGAGCCCCTTCTGTTGAGATACTTTTAAATTGAGGCTCTGGGCTGTGCCTGGGGGCCGGCCCTCCCCTCAGTCCACCACACAGTGGGGCAGGGGCTGTGAGCTCAGGGGCCCTGGGCGGGGAGGGGAGAGACGGGCAGGACAGTCAGGGCGCTGTCAGCAGGGCCACGGGGGGCGGAGGGGGGCGGGGGGCAGCCTGGAGCTTGTCCTATTAAAAATGGAGGCCTAGGGAGAATCCCGAGCAGTTCTCAGCAGAATTCACCATCTGGTGACTGCTGAGGGGGTCAGAGGGAAAGAGAGAGAGATGCGGTGGGGAGGCAGGGGCCATGGTCCAGAGAGGTGGCCGCACTAGGACAGGGCCGTGGGAGTGGAGATGGGAGGAGGGCCGGTTACTAGAGATTTTTAAAAACTTAAACTTATTTATTGAAGTATGACTGTAAGGAAGCGGAATGTAAGTGTACAGCTCAAATGATCGAGATTTTTAGAAGAATTTCAATTCGTGCAATATACTTGTAAGCTGCTTGCAGCCAAGGCCCATGTAAAGGCATCAGACTCCACTGACGTGGGCACTGACATTGTGTCCAGACCTCAGACAGCGCAGGACAGCAGCGGCGCGCTTGGGCTCTGGGGCAGGACAGCCCGGGAAGCCCTGCCTGCCTCCACGGAGCCAGCGCACGGCCGCTAGACCTTCCCACAGATCCATGAAAACGCCGGGAGAGAAGAGCAGGGGCTGAGATGGACGTACAGGGGCTGTTGGTGGTTGGGTGGCTTCCCCAAGGAAGTGGCTTGGAGATGGATCTACAGGACAGGCAGGAGTTGGCTGGGGGAAGCCAGAAAACAGAGCACATGCGAAGGCCCCAGGTCAGGAGGCAGCACTGTGAGCAGGCCAGGAGCTGGGGGTGGGAGAGCTGGAGAGAAGGCCGGGCGGGGGGCAGGCAGCAGGACCTTGCAGGCCAGAGCAGGAGCTTGTCATTGCCCTGTGCCCAAGAGGAAGCCTTACCGGGTGAGTAAGGGGCTGGTAAGATCAGACTTGCATTTAACAGATTGCTTTAGTTTCTTGTTGGGGAGGGGTGGCAGACTAGTCGGTGGCAGGGTGCAGAGGGGAGGCCAGCTAGGAGGTTGAGGCAGGCGTCCTGGTGTTGCCAGAAAGGGGCCCAGGCCTGGAGCGGGCCTGCGGGGGGCCTGCCGGGGGCCTGCTGGGGGCGGGCGTGCGGGTTCTCGGCTGTGTACAGGAGAGGCTTCACCGCGTGAGCCCGGGAGGTTTTGAGAGCATGTTTACTGTGGCTGGGGACAGTCAAACAGAGGCAAGGCTTAGGACAGAAGCAGCACCAGGAGAGCCCAGGCGGGGCTGCCTGAGCTCACTGGGAAGCCAGGGAAAAGGGGCAGGTTCAGGGGATCAGCCCGGGACAGGCTGCAGCTGCCCGCTGCCCGCTGGCTGCAAGCCTCTTTAGGAGCTGCATGCCTGTGGGGAAGCGGGGGAGGGTGCGGGCTGCTCCCGGGAGGGAGAGCGAGCACCGGGTACTTCCTCCTGAGGGTTTTTAAAGGCCGGGGGGTTTAGCAGCGATCTCAAGGGAGGATCACAAGAGAACATCCATCAGCTCTTCCAGGTGTGTCCTTTCAGGGGGGTCTTTAGTCATTGCAGCTGGTCCTGGTGTCGCCCACCTGGTTTTGCAGCTTTTCTGGGCCTGGGGCTGAAATACAAGTGAGGTCTGGATGTGTCTCTAGGGAGGTGACCTTCTGTATCAGCTGTAAATTGCTCCGCTGTTGTGTTCAACTATCGGTCTCAGTTTCCCTATTCTGCCAAGGAATTTTCCTGGCATCTTACTGTCCTGCGCTCGCAACAGATGAGGTGACAGTCAGGAGGTAGCAGGGACAGGCCCGGGCACAGCCTGGGTCTCAGGCGGGGCAGGGCCCAGGATGCTCCCAGGTCCCCGCTTGGGTGAGGGCCGGCTGGGAGGCGCTCGCCTCAGCCGAACTCCGGGAGGGCAGAGCTGCGTCTTGGACAAGGTCAGGTGGCAGTGCTCTTGAGGGAGCCGGGGACATGTGGCCACCGGGAGCTTAGGCCTGGCACTCACAGGTGGGGCCTAGGCTGGAGGTAGGGACCTGAGTGTTGTCAGAGGACAAAGGACCTTGTGCTTGAAGACTACGTATCTGGGGTTCAGAGAGTGAGCCCAGGAGGGTGGGGGCCAAGGCTGAGGACCACCAGCACCCCCTGCAGGCACAGGGGTGAGCCGGGTACGTGAGGAAGGCAGGAGGCGGCAGGGCACGGAGCCCAGGGCTGAGACACTTGCGGCCAAGCCTGTGGCTGGGTGGCTCATTTTACGGCGGGAGAGCCCGAGCACAGCCTTGGAGGGCTGTTGGGGCCGGTGGGCCCCAGGCACTTCTGCGGCCCCCACCGCTGGGGCTGTCGCACAGGTCCTTGGCCTACCTGTGCCCCCTCCCCGCCCCTCCTGGTCCTTCCTCAGTCTCCCTGAGACTAACCCTTGAAAAGAGCCATTACTGGACGGCCTCCTTGCCGGGGTGACCGTGAGAGCAAGTTTAGTAGAGTTTGGGACACTGAGGCAAAGAAGGGCCCCTGGAGTCAGGATCGGGGGCGAGCCTGGGATGAGCTGCCGCTGCCTGTTGCTCCCCTGACTGCGAGCCTCCATGGGACCCCTAGAGCTCGGGATGGGAGAAGCAAAGGACACGCCTGAGGAAGAGGGCGCGGGCGTGCTCGGAGGAGCGTGCGAGCCGGCCACCTTCGTCCGGAGGGGCTACCGATCCTAGGGGACGTCCCAGGGGAGGATCATGACAGGAGAGTCATTAGATTTCTGAGTATGTTGTTGATATAGTTTAGTATTTTGATGTATTAAAATAAGCTAAGGGAAGTTTCACCTCCCTCTTGGCTCTAATCTTTTTATTATTACTCTTTTTGTTCTCCATCTCCCTGACTAAGGTGGTTTAAATCACCTGCTCTTAGATGCCTTTGGTTAGGGAGGGTAGAGTCTTAGAACTTAGCCGCTGGCTGTTCATTGCTCAGCCGTTCCGTCCATTTGTTCAGCCATTTGTCTCAGTCTCCCCGGTCCACTTGCCAGGGAATTTTCCAAGGATCTCACTAACCTGCCTCAGGGCCGTGAGCCGTTCCCATCCACACCTCTGCCCATGCTTGGGACACCATAGGATGGCAGAGACCTGCAGGCTCTGAGGGACCTGATGTCTTCTGGTACAATGTTGCTTCCTGTTCCCCATCAGAAAGAGCTGGCGGAGCTTAAACACCAGTACAGCATCGACGAGTTGAAGCAACGGGAGAACCTGATCCAGGCCCAGCTGGAGGAGGAGCAGGCGCAGCGGGAGGAGCTGGAGCAGCACAAGGTACCCTCGCCCCGCGGACCCCACACCCGCCCTCCCTGCCCTGGCTCCCAGTGCTGGCCGCGGGGCATCGGGCACGTTCGGCAAAGGTCAGCAGGGCCCAGGCCCTCGAAACCTGCCCAGGACTGAAAACAGATGCTGCGCAGCCACAACCCAGCTCCGAGGAAGCATGTAAATTGTGCGCCATCCACCGGGCGTGCTGCCCGGTCCCGGCCTTGCCCTGCCCACCGCCTGCCCCGGGGCGGCTCCACCTTAGTCCAGGCCTCACCCACCTTGCGTCATCCACAGAGCCGGGGCGGTTGTGCCGGAACAGCTTGTCAGAGCAGCGGGCCTTTTCCTGAACCACCAAGGCAGCGCCCCCCTGGCAGCCAGGAACACTTGGCAGGGCGCTGGGTTCGCAGCTGAGCCTCCACCCCTCAGCCGCCACCCCTCAGCCGCCACCCCTCAGCCGCCACCCCAGCTGCCTCCCCTCCCGCCCCCGCAGCAGACCAAGCCCTGGGCAGCTGTCAGCGCTATGCCCTGGGCCCCTAGAGGTGCCAGGCCCCGAGCCCAGCATGCCCTTCCCCGCCTTGCCCTCCTTAGAGGGCTGAGCGACCCCACCCCCAGGGCCCACGTGCAGGCCTGGGTTCAGCCGCACCTCTGGCTGCTTCCAACACAGGCCGCATTCGTGGAGCACCTGAACGGCTCCTTCCTGTTTGACAGCATGTACGCCGAGGACACGGAGGGCCTCAAGCTGGCCTACCTGCACGGCGCGGGCGAGCTCCTCGAGGCATATCCTTCCCAGCCGCGGCACCCCTGCGGCCCGGTCTGGCTCGCGGCCCCACCTGCCTGCAGCTTGTCCCCTTCCACTCTGGGCCTCGGCTTCCCCATCGGTCTTTGAGGCCCCGGGAGGTCAGACCTCCACTTTGGAGCGGGGCGGGGCCGGATCTGCTGAGCTGCACAGGGAATGATGCCTGGGTTGCAGCAGGCCCCCGGGGGTGCGGTCGGCAGGGCCGGGTCTGGTGCAGAACAAGTCAGGTCGTCGGAGGTGGAGTTGGACGGAGGTGTGCGTCTGTGGCACTAACCCTCTGTAGCCACTTTCAGTTCCTGCCGCGTGCTTTGCGCACTAGAGGGGTGCTGCTGCGTAATCGCATCTTATAGTTGGGGAAGCTCACCTTGGAGAGGTTGACTTGTCCCAGGTCACACAGTTAAAAGGTGAGAGTCGAACCCCACTTGGTGGGCCTCAGACCTTGAGCTCTTCCCCAGCTGGCCGGAGCCCACAGGACATGGCCAGCTCTTGTCATCAAGGCCGTGACTGCGGTGGTCAACCAGCTGGTGTAAACCGTAAGCTGAGGGAGACAGATAGGCGTGAGGGGCTCCTGGTCCAAGAGTGCGGAGACCGAGCCGCAGCCGCAGAGTGTGTCTGGGAACCGGCATCTCTGAGTGGGAAAAACTCGCTGGTAAACGCCCAGCATTCTGAGAAGAGTCGGGCAGGGACGGTCGGCTGTGGGGCTGAGCAGAAGGCGAAGAGCAGGGCTCTGGCTTAGGCAGACCGGCTCTGCCGGGCTCTGCCACCTGCCGGCTGCATGGCCGGGGGGCTTGCACTGAGGCTGTAGCGCCTGCCTGACCTCGAGATCCTCCCGTCCAGTGGTTCTGCTGGGGCCTCACAGTCAGGCGAGGAGCCCAGGGCCCGGAGGGGAGACAGCAGAGGCGGGCCTGGGGCCTGGCCTCCGCGCTTCCTGCCTGCGGTCCCCCACCTGCACAGTTTCCCTCCGCGCACCTGCAGCCCCTGAGAGCAGACCCTCAGCAAAGGTGCCCTCTAGACAATGCAGCAGAGGCAAAGCACATGTTGCCTCAGGCTGGCTCCGGGGCTCCCGCTCCCTCCCTGGCCCTCCCGGATCCCCAGGAGTCTCTTCTGGGGCCTCTCTTAGCTGTCTCTCCTCTGCTCTGTAGCCTCCTCCTGTCGTCCTGCACAAAGGTAACATTCCTGAATCCCTCAGGCCGAGGCCGGAGGGGCCCCGGCCACACCTTACACTCCCAGCCTCCACCACGCTCTGTCAGGGAGCTGCCACCACCGCATAGCACCCGAAACAGCCTCCAGCTTCCTTAACAGCCACTAACCTACAAGGACAAATTTGTCATCATCTGCCTGAACATTTTCGAGTACGGACTGAAACAGCAGGAAAAGCGGAAAGTGGAGCTTGACACCTTTAATGAGTGTGTGCAGGAGGCCATCCAGGAAAACCAGGAGCAGGGCAGACGCAGGATAGCCGAGTTTGAGGAGAAGCACCTGCTGGTAGGCCTGCCCCCCGCCCCCCCCCCACTGCCTGCTCCCTGTGCCCCCACCCCTGCCTCACCCCGCCGTGGGCCGAGCCGCCAGAGGGCAGCAGCCCGTGTCCCGCTGATGACCCCTGAGGCCCCTGGTATTTGTCCACGTTTGCCAGAGCTCACGCAGCTCAGTGGCTGAGCCCAGGCGCCGCCTTCCCCAGCCACACCAGCCATAGCTCCTCTGCCACAGCCTGTCGGCTGAGGGTGCAGACCCAGGCCCCTTCCCTCCAGAAAGGCCAGCTCTAACCTGGAGGGAAGCCTGGAGCCTTGGGGGTTTCCAGGGCACCTGAACTCAGGCTGGCACGTACGGGACAGGGAAGAGCGATCCAGGGGTGGTGGAGGAAAGAGGCAGTTCACCCAGGGAGGGACCCTGAGGCATGCGGGACCCGTGGGCCTGGGCCACCGAGCCAAGCCCACGCGTGCTCGGCGGGGTTGTTTCTGTTGGGAGCATTACTTGGGAAGACCGACTCGCGCCCTGCTCTAAGCCAGAGCCCTTCCGAGGCTCTGAGGAGGGCGATGGGAACGCCCGCCGTCCGCATCGGGGCTGCGGGGAGCCCCTGGAGGCGCCCCTGGCAGGGAGCCGCTTGTCCACTGTCGAGCAGAGTCCCCCGGTGAAGCGAGTTCAGATGGGAGGGGTGGCGATGACGGAGGTGCGCCTCCCGGCCCCGCACCCCCCGCCCTGTCCTCCCACCCTGTGTCCTGAGCCTCACCGCCGGGCCCAGGGGCGGGGAGGGTGTCATGCCCTCGGCCGAAGCTCTGACCCCTCAGCAGAGGCGCACATTCGGCTCACCTGTGTATTTTGTTTGGCCTGCAAGGGGTTTCACAAATTGTGAATGTCCTGTTGACATTAAAACAGGAAGATCTCACTGAAAAACTGGTCACCCGCTTCTCTGGAGGGAGTTGTCACCAGGGCCTGAGCAACGGCTGTGCCCCCTGGATGGCCCATCGGCCATCACCCAGGCACTGTCCAGCCCATCCTCCCCGACATTCCTTACCTGGTCCCTGTAGCCACTGGACTTGGGACCCCTGGATGCCAGCCAGCTGGCTCCCCCTGAAGGCCCGGGGGGGGCGGCACCTCAGCCACAAATGCTGCCGGGGAGCAGGTGCCCGCCCACCCGTGCTGCCCTCCTGCTGCACTGGAGGCTCATGAGGGCTCCGCCCGCCATAGGCGTGGTCTGCATAGCAGCGTCCTCACGGTTGCTTGGGACCCGCAGCCAGCCTGGGGCTCCTCCCCGAGGGCCCGGAGCCGTGGCCTCTTGTGGAGGGCCAGGCAGCCTCCCTGGGGCCCTGCCATCACACCGGTGCCGGCCAGGGTGTGCCTAGTGCTGGGGTCCCTCAGCGCCCCCGGGGCCTCCAGTGCTCGGCCAACCTGAGCCCGCTGCCTTGGAAGCCCCCAGACTCCATGCAGGCCCAAGGAAGACCCCAGTTCACTGCCTTCACGGGACCTCTCCAAGAGCTGGTCCTGCCCTCTCCCACCGCCCCCTCACTAGACAGGGGCTCTCAGAGCGCCCCTCCTGGGGCCCCACGGGGGACTGCTCGGGCGGAATCCTCACTGGGGACCCCTGCTGGACCCCCCTTTTCTCGTTGGCGAGATGGAGATAGTTGCCCCGCGGGACTGAGGTGTGGCCGTGAGATGGCGCCCAGACAGCGCACGATGCGTGCGGGACGGCCCCTGTGTGGTTGGAGCCGCTCGTGTGACTAGGTGGTGACGGGCAGTGGGCAGGTGCTAAGCCCAGGCAGGGAGCGACAGACACGGGTGGGGGCGCACAGTCAGCCGCCTCCGCACGCATGCGTGTGTGCGTGCACTTGTGCACATGCTCGAGTGTGCTCACAGCTGTGTGTGCGCGAGCATTGCATGCCTGTGTGCACCTGTGAGTGCGTGATGAAAGCGTGGCGTGCACTGTTCTATGCTTCACTGTTATATCTGTGCCACTTAGAGGTCCTTCTAACGCTTGAGTTGCTTGCTGTTTTTCATAGTTGTAAAATATCTCGTTGCATGGATGAGTCAGGATTGATCAAGCCAATTCCTGTTGATGGGCGATTGGGTTTTCTCCATTCTCTTGCTCTTACAAACAGTGTTGCAGTGGATCACTTGCTACAAGTGTGACCTTGAGGACGAAGTCCTGGAGGTGGCACTGGGTGCTGCTTCTTTGACTAGTTCTTGCCCAGCTGCGCTGGCCGCTCAGCTGCCAGGCCCGCGGCGGCAAGTCTCTCGGTTCCTGACAGTCTTACACTTGGAGTGTGTGCTAATTTTCTCATAGGTAGGAGGGAGTGTCAAATCTGTTGCAAACATTTGTGTTTCTTATTTGTGAACTGTTCTTGTAATATGCTCTTACCCATTTTTCTCTTTGGTTTTCTCTCTCCTCTATCTCTACTTCTCCTTTTTTTAAAAATAAAATTATGAATTTGTCAGAGCACTTTATAGAGAGAGGAATTAGCCCTGAGTCAATGAAATAAGTTGCAAACCATTTTCCCAGTTTGCTTTTTATCTTATTGTCTATGGTGTTTTTACCATTCAGAATATTAAAAATTTTTACGTGATAGAATTTATCAGTCTTTTCTTCTGGTAATACTTAGAAAGGACTTCTCCACTTTGAGATTATTTATTTAAAATCCCCCATTTTTTCCTAGTACTTTTATGGCTTTATTTTTTACATTTAAATTTTTGCCCTGCCAGGAATTTACTTTCATGCGAGGCTTGAGGTGGGGACTGAACATGGTTTGTCTCCAGGTGTCATAAATGCCGTCCGCACACACAGCCCCAAATCGCGTCCCACTGCTCCTCCTTCACAGCCAGTATCAAATACCAACAAAACAAGCTGGCGCTGTAGCCAGCGGCCGACTGTCCAGGCCCTTTGTTGGTGAATGGCCGGTGTGCGGCGCTTTGCTCGGACCCCTGGGTGCCCTGCAGCCCGTGAGCACCCTCTATTCCGAACAGGCCAGCTCTGTTTACTGCTGCGTCCACTGCCCGTGGGAGCTCTGTGCGGGTGTGGCCGCCTGCATCCGGCCGGGCCTGCCTCGCGTTTCCGGTGCCTCTCCCTGCCGTGCCTGCTGCAGGCCTTCTGTGGGGGTCCTCCGGAGCGGAGCCCCCGCGGTGAGCCAAGGCCCCACCTCCACTGCCCCACCCCCAGGGCTTTGTGAAGCGCATGTTCTCTCCCCATGTACTGAATCTTAGAGAACGCAAAGGACTCCTTTGAGGTCACATTGCTAATAAGTGACTCAGACGGGATTCAAATTCAGGTCCCCCGACCCTGAAGCCACTGCTCCTGCCATCCAGCCAGGCCGCCTCCAGTAAGGAGCAGAGCTCAGGAGGGCTACGTGCCTGCTGGCTGGTGCCGGTGACCCCCATCTGATGGCCCCGAGGCCTGCGGAGGGATGTGAGCTCCTGCAGACTCACAGGGCTGGCTGCTGCACCCCGGGCAGTCCAAACCCAGAGCCCAGGCTCTTACCCGCAAAACCAAATTGTTGCCTGTCATTAACTAATTACAATCAGTGGTGCATCCCTAAAGCACTGGCTTTATTTCCAGAGTTTAAGTGCCATCCGAGATGAGTCAGAACTGACCAGCCTGGAGAAGAAGATAAAGGAGTGCAGCGAGGACATCAGTGAGCTGTTCAACACTCTCCTGACCCTGGAGATGCAGCTGGTGGAGCAGCTGGAGGTGAGGCTGGGGCCCTGGGCACAGACTTGAACACCACGCACGCCAGGCTCATCTGAACAAAGCTGCTGATGCAGCTGCTAGTCCACACTCAAGCGGGAGCCCTCCCGGGCCCTCCTCTGTGGGGAGGTGAGCGCTGCTCTGCGCCAGGCCAACGGCTTCCTGCTGATCAGTCCTGTGTTTGCCTTTAATGCAGTGCAAGTGAGGCTTGGGAGGCAATGCGCCCCCTGCCTCCGCCCCCCAGCAATCCCAGAATAGGCCAGAGTCTCAGCAGGGAGAGGATTTTTATTAGACCCAAGGAGCTGCCCGGAGGCTCAGAAAACAAGGTGGGCCCCCCCAGGGGCGAAACGAAGGCCTCTCTGCATCTCAGGGCGCGGTTACTGGTGATGGAGGAGCCTGCAGTTCAGCACTCGGTGGTGGGAACGGAAAGTGCTGCTGTCGGCAGTTTCTTGGTGGCCAGAGTGACTGGTGGGTTTGCAAGGCAGCGAGTGCAGGGCCTGAGGGGCTGTGATGGATCGGACCTCTGGACACGGCCGCCGCTGCGCCAAGAGACGGCCCCCGACTGAGTCCTCACACATCAGCTGGCCCCGCAGACACAGGATAGATTTCCCATTACACTGCACAGCAGAGCCCCCACCCCCCGCCCCGTGGACGGCTCCAGCCCTGCAGCAAGCAGCGCCAGGCCTCGGGGCAGCTGAGGCAGCGCCTCCCACCCCCTCAGGCAGGGAGACGCTGTCTCCCGCATTGCGGAACTCCCTGGAACCCCAGCGCAGTGGTGCTGGGGTTCCTGCCACACCTGTGCTCAGTGCCCAAAGGCCCTGAGTGCGGTTGTGCTTGTCAGTGACGCTGTTTCTGTTCGTGACAACAGCACTCACACGCGCCAGGAACATGTGCAATCGGCTGGGCTTGCAGACCGTCCCCAGGCCCCCGCAGGCTCCTCCAGCCTGTGCCCCGGGGGCCCCAGGGTCTGGCAGGTGGGGCCGTGGCCCACCCTGGGGCCCACACAGTCCGACGGTCGCGGCTTCGCCGTGCATCTTCTGCCACTGCTCCCTCAGTCAATGTCAAGCCCCCCTTAGGCGCGGCTGCCTTGCCGAGCCCCGGGACGCAGCCATGCTGGGGCTCCCTCGGGGCACGGACGGTCCGGGGGGACAGCCAGGCAGCTTGCAGAACATTGTGTGTGAAGTGACCTCTTTAGGCTTCACCACAACCCCAGGGGACAGCCCTGCACAGGAGGCCCGCGGCAAGGTGAGGGAGCTGGGGCCCAGGGCAGCGAGAGACTCCCGAGAGCTGCACACGGTGGTGGGGCTGGGACACTGGCCCAGGCCGTCTGGCTCTTACTGACCCCCTCCCTTATTCTCCGGAGGTGAAAGAGGGTGACACCGAGAGGCCCCGAGGAAGGGGGATAGCGCTGAGTGTTGGAGGGGGGTTAAGACCAGGACCGGGCTATTGGCAGAGGGAGCAGGCAAAGGCTTGGAGAAAGCATCACATTAAACACTCGAGGGGTAGGGAGTGAGGCGACACGGCCGGGGGGCGGGGGGGCGACGGAGCTGGGGGATGAGATCAGGAGGGAGAAGAAGGGTCAGTTCACAGACACCTACCAGGAAGGCCAAGGCGGCTGGTCTTGATCTCAAAGGTCTGTGACTAGAGGAGGTGCTGGCTACTTCTAAGGAGCGCCTTCTACTCTGAGGCTAGGCCAGTCAAGGCTGTGTCTAAATACGCGCGATAACTGTTTTCTTTAACATTTCTAGGAGACTATAAACATGTTTGAAAGGAACATCATCGACTTGGTGGGGCTCTTTATCGAAAATGTCCAAAGCCTATATCCTTTTCTTGGGGGTCCTCCATGGGGAGGCGCCACTGGGCCCACGGAGGGGATCATCCTGGCCCACATCGCTGCCACCCACCCCCGCCTGCCAGGGGAGCAGGGCAGAGGGGCCTGCAGCTTTAACAAAAGGCAGGGAAGGGGAGAGCTCTGTCACCAGCTCACCAGGATGCCACTGAGTGGGACTCCCTCCTCGGTGGCGCCCGTGGGGCCTCACGCCAGCCCCTGCCACGGCCACTGGTGCTCTAGCCATGTCGGCAGAGATAGCCAAAGCAGAACATGTTGCTTTTTACCAGAAACAGCTTTACAGAAAGATCCATACCTCCACCAAGATGATATTAAAGTCATCGCAGGACCTTATTGAGTGGGAATCTCCACCTTTGAAATTAGAGAAATGGAAAACCTCTAGTTTTCCAGCAAGAAAAAAAGCTCACTTTCAAAGGGTGAAGGTTTGGCAACCACTCTGAATGTTCAAAGAATGTTCCCGGTGTGAGGGGGAGTCCCAACCCCCCCCAAAAAAGAACAGCAGCAGCTTTGTTCCAGTAACCCCTGTGGGGCTGCTCTTCTGGGTGGGGGTGGGGGGGCGGCATGGGGGGAGGAGGCGTGGCTCACAGTAGAAGTCCTGGAAGGTTTGTTCTCAAATGCTTAACACTCAAGGGGAGACCGCACCCTAGAATCCCCACCTGCCCCAGTGTTGCAGGTCTACACACCCAGGGGTGGGACAACCAGGGTATCCTACAGGTCAAGAACACTGATAAATTATCCATAATGAGCCAGGCAGGTTAATTTTCTGGATCAGTAGCCAACATTTGGGGGATGACCAACCTTCTGACCCCTGAACTCAGCCCTGCTGTGCGCGGGGCAGACTGCTGTGCTCCACGGCTGACAGAGTCCCTGGTCCTGCCGGGGAACATCGCCCTCCCCCGCCCCGCCCCCCAGCCCCGCAGGGAAAGAGCAGTTGTGGAGGCAGGCAGTGCCTAGCAGCTGGCACAGAGCCAGGGCCCACAGCCTCCCAGAGGGAGGGCCCACTGAGGAGGGCCCGCGGGTGGGCAGCGGGGCGGCGGGGTGGGTGGGGAGTGGGGAGAGCTAGCAGGCAGAGGAGGGAGCCCCGCGAAGAGCCTGAGGCAGAGTCAGAGTCCCGGCCCCAGAAGGCCCTCGGGCCTCAGCTCAGCCTGCAGAGCGCATTGGGGCGGGCCAGCCCACCATCGCTAGAGCTCTCCCCGCTGCTGCAGGGAGAACGGGCCTCGCAGAGCCTGGGGCTTGGCCCACCGTCGAGTAAGGAGGCTGTGGGATGGAGGCACGAGGGCCCAGGGCCCGTGGCCCACAATAGCCAGGTGCGTGCGTGGGGTGGGCGCAGGCAGGACGGCTGTGGAGATGACCGTGCGCTGGCCCTTAGGAGCCTGCCCTCATCCAGCGGCCATAGCTGGCCCCCAGTGCTGGGGCTTGGCCGGCCCGCGGCAGCCCGGGCCTTTGCTTAACTCCCGCCGGCACAATGGCGCAGTGTCGGGACCTGGAGAACCACCACCACGAGAAGCTCCTGGAGGTCGCCATCAGTGCCCTTGAGAAGGCGGTCAAGGGCGAGCTGGACGAGGACCTGCCCGACGAGGTCCGAGCGGTGAGTGAGGCGCGCGGAGGGGCGTCGCGGGCGGTGGGGGCACGGTGGAGTCCAGCCCAACCCCTTGGCTCCAGGAAGCCTGGAAACCTCCAGGGCCTCAGTTTCCTCGTCCGCAAAAGGGAACAATCTGCCCCTTGGCAAGGCAGTTGGCAGGTGAAACAGGCAAACAAAACAGCTGGTAGGGGATGCAGTGGGGCTCAATTACAGAGGAGCTCAAAAAGTTTCAACCAGCTAAACACAGGTTGGTTTCCAAAAGCTCATTTCTGTGGAGCTTCTGGCACTTTCTAGGAGAAGCAGTTACAAATACAAGCTAAGGTCTGAAATTTCCCCAAAGGTCTTCTTAACCCTCGAGCCTCTAGGATGGGAGGCGTGCCCAGCTCTGTGTCCGATTCAGCAGGCCTCCCGCTTCCCACCGGGCCACCCAGAGGTGAAGGGTCACAGGCCAGCAGGCCAGCCCGGGCCCCTGGCCCTTGGGCCGCCTGCTCTGGGGCCCCTGGGCAGTGTGTGTCACGTCTCTGAAGAGCCACAGCTGACGACAGACGGCTCAGGCCCAGACACTTTCTTGTCAGGAGGCTTTCCTTCCGTCACTCACTGCAGTCGTGGCCTCTCCTTCTCTCCACCTCTGTGCTGTCAGCAAACCCAGCCACCTCTGGCCTGTGCGTGGCCACCGGCCTCCCTGCTGCCCCCTGCAGGCCACTCTCTGCTCAGGAGCCAGAGAGCCCCTGAAAACCCAGCCATAGCATCTCGCGTCTCCCCGTGGCTCTTTGAGGACGTGCTCCTTCCTGCCCCACAGACAGACCTGCTGCCCTGCCACCGCCTCCCTGGCGCCCCCCCGCCCCCCGCCGCCCCACGCAGAGCCGCCCTCAGACCTGCAGGGCTCACTCCCATCGGATGATGTTCTGCCTGGCAGATGCGCTCTTTGCTTGGGTTTCCGTGTGTCTGGCTTGTCCTTGTCATTCAGCACTCAGCTCAAATGCCAGCTCCTCAGAGAGGCTGTCCCTCAGCAGCTTCCTGGAGAACGCTGGCCCGTCACAGACCTCGCCTGTCATCATGGGAGCCCTCGTCCCAGGTGCAAGCTCTCTGGTTTACGTCACCTTGTTTCTGCGACTGTTCACGCTGCTTGTAGGGAAGGCGAGGTCGGCCTCCTCCCCACGGGGACTGCAGCGCGGCTACTGCGCTGCCAGGGCCACACTACGCAGTGCAGGCCAAGTCCAGCGAACACTGAGACCAGCAGCCCTCACTCCCGCCGTCTCTGTCTGGGCCGAGACAGACACCCAGCACAGCAGCGTGGGGGCAGCGCCACTGAGTCCCCAGCCTTCCCTCCCTAAACACCCACGAAATGCTGCTATTGTCCAGACGTAGGGAGCAGCCAACTTCCGCAGGCCTGAAGGGAGGCTGCGCCTGAGGGCTGCTCAGGAGCCCCCAGGTGGACAAACAAGATGTGGGCGGAGTTTCCTCGCTGCGAGGCTGCCGGGGCTGTGGCATCCAGCAGGTACAGGGCTGAAACCTGCTCCCTCGCTAATGACTGGACACAGAAAGGACGGCTCGAAGGTCGGTGGCAGACAAGCAGGTGGGCTGGTGCTTCCAGGGGCCGCCCCCCTCTCCTGGCAGGTGGCCCTGCCTGGCACCATCTCACACCTGCTCTTGGGGTTCCAGAAACACCGAGCGCCCGCTGATCGGCTGACCAGGCAGCGGCTGGCCCTGGTGCGCGGGTGGCACAGAGGTCTGCTCCGGCTGCTCCCACATGACCTCAGGGCAGCCAGCACCCCTAGCTGGAGTTTGGTAATAAACTGCCCAGGGTGACACCTGTGAGGGCCAGAGTCGACTGAGGCCAGGCCGAGCGAGGCAGAGCCCAGGCCGTGGACGCAGGGCCGGCGCTGGCCCTGCTGCGGACCGCCGTGGGTGTCCTGGGTCCGCCCGCGTTCCCGGCACCACTGTAGTGGGGCTCTGCCTCTGATCGAAGGTGCTCCTTAGGCTCCCTCGCAGGGTTGGTGCCAAGGGCCACCCTTCTAAGGCTCATTAGTGGGCAGCCAGCGGGAGCCAGTGGACGCCTTTCCCCCACAGGCCCAGGTGAGCTTCCGGCCTCTCGGGAAGGTGTGCAGTCGCAGCTGGAGACGTTGCCAGGACCCTGCACCGCTGTGTCTGTCTCCTCAGAGTTAAGCCACAGAGCGCGGCACACTGTTCTCCGGGAGAACAGCACGCCCTCACTGTAAAATGCAGCAGCAACACAAATAACTGACGGGTCCAGAAGCCTCCTGCGGTCCAGCCAGCTGAGCAGCACTGGACACATACCTGTGCTTTTAATCTCCACATCAACACAGCAATATCAGAACCATTATGACTCCCTTTTACATATGAGGAAACTGAGGCACAGAGGCGAGAATAACCCGTCGACAACACAGCGTCTAAGCAGTAGAGCCGTGGTTTGAATACAGACAGTTTGACTCAAAGCCTTTCACCAAGTGCCTGCTGAGCCTGCGTGAGGAAGGGATGTTCAGGTGGGGGAACAGGGCCTTTGGCCAGAAAGGGCCTGGCTTCTCGTGCACGATTGCCAGTGAGCACGTCACGGTAGACACACGCCGACGAGGCCTCCGAGAGCCCTCCAGCCGCGAGGCTGGGACCGGCCCGTGCCGTGCTCGGGGCCAAGGCTGCGTTTCAAAGCCCCCCAGCCCTGTGGAAGGAGCAGCAGAGCCCACACGCTCAGGGAGAGCCCGGCGCCGGGGCACGGCTGCCCGCGGAGGTCAGAGGGCAGCGAGGCTGCTGCAGCCCCCCGTGGGCCTGGGCCCAGAGCCAGTCTGGTGCTGCAGTGCCCCACCGCCGCATCTAGGGGGCAGCAGGAGGCCAGACGGCACCCTGCTGCGGGGAACAGCCCGACGGGTGTCCAGCTGCAAGGCAGGCCAGTGCTGAGGGCCAGGCCAGTGGGCTTGTGAGGCCCCAGGGAGTCTGCTGACAGCGGGTGTGGCGCGGGGTTAGCAGGTCCCAGGACAAGGCCCCGGCTGGGACCTGAAGGCTCTGCTTGGAAGGGGGGCTGGCAGCGCAGGGCACTGCTCCTCTGGCAGAGCAGGGACGGGCTGGGGCGGGATCCTGCATCTTTCTCTGTGGTGGGGGCCGCAACGTTAGCAGGTGCCCAGGATGGGTGGGGGCAGGGGCAACAAATCCTCAGCCACCAGCATCTCAGAGGGCCTGGGAGGGGCACCAGCTAGGCCCTTCTCAAGAGACGCACTCCACACTCTGCCCCACCCCGTCCCCGCCCAAGAAGTTGCTTTAAAAGAAATGTGTCTACACAGTCCCAGGCCCACAGACAGGGCGGGGCGGCTCCAGAGCCAGGAGGGGCTGTGCTCCTCAGGGGTCCCTTGGGCGCACTCCTGCCTCTACCGTGGCACTTTCAACCTGCAGAAATGGCAGGAGAACCTTGAACGTTCTAACTGTAAGAACTATTTTAAAGGCGCACTGAGGTAGCCACCATTCCAGCCCACTGGGAGTCCAGGAACAACTTGAAGCTTGTATTTTAAAGTCATTTCTTTAAACCGGATTCCTTTCATTTGTATTTTACGAATGTCAGTTTTTCGTAACCGGTTCTTACCTCATCCATTCCAAGCAGACTTCACGTCCCACAGCTCCCGAAGCTGCTTCCACGCATTCGGACCCTGGGGGGACGGCTGCTCTCCTGGCCTAGGAGGAGAGCAGCCGTGACCCGCTTCTACAAACAAGAGTGAGGGCCCCTGCGTGACCGGCTGGCGGCTGTGGCTCTCCTTGCGGGAGCTGGGCCGGCCGCCCCAGGGCGCCCGACCTGAGGCTCCTGGGCAGGCAGGGTGGGTGTGTCTTTGAACCCTTCCCAGGGCCTGGCCCGGAGGAAGAACTCCCTGACTTCTTGCCACTTCTCCTGTGGGCGCATGTGACAGGGCCACTTGCCCCCCCGCCCCCATACACCATTCCCCACATCAGCTGGCCTGGCTTTTCCACACGGGGTTCTGTGCAAAACCAGCATCTGGTAACACAGTGACAGGTATTGTTCTGAAGAGAAGTCTGTGGCCAAACATGCTGGAAACTGAGAGATGAAAAGTTCGAAGAGCTTATCTTCTGCCGACTCCCCAGAGCTGTCAGGGAGAGGCGCTCCATGCACGTGGCACCCAGGAGGGACCCAGGGCTGTGCAGACTACCAAGTGTATTTGAGCAAAGAAGACTGCTTTTTTTTTTCTTTACAGAAATATTATCCTCTCAAGAGTCCACAGGGTGTATTTTGGAGACTGCTGTGCAAAGGCACAAAGCAAGCGTGCACGCCCCCTTGCCATCCCCCCACAACGCAGCACCTTTGCCCCGTGCCGTCTGGTGCCCCAGCCTCCTGCTGCTCTGGGGAATGCGGGCTCCCCTTGATTTCCAGCTGTGGCAGGCACACAACAGCCAGTGTAAGCACCTAGCACCAACTAGGCCTAGCAGAGGGAGGTGATTTCCAACAACTTTTTACAAGGCAGAAAACGAGGCCAGGAATGCAAGAAAGCAGCTGACCCCGAGTGCAATGCGGGCTTAACGTGAGCAGCAGTGGAGCAGCCATGTGGGGAGCACCCACCTGTGTTTTTTTAGTTAGTTATTTCTTTACCCTCACCCGAGGACATGCTTATTGATCTTAGAGAGGAAGGGAGGAAGAGAAACATGGATGTGAAAGAGAAATATCGATCGGTTGCCTCTTGTACACACCCCAGCTGGGACCAAACCTGCAACCCAGGCATGTGCCTCGCCGGGAATCAAACCCGTGACCTTTCAGTCTGTGGGACGATGGCCCACCCACCGAGCCACGCAGGCCAGGAGAAGGAGCCATCTGCCTGTCAGCAGGTCCTCTTGTCCTCAGAGCAGGACGAGGCCCTGGCCAGTCTCACACTCCCCGCCCGGCCGGCGAGTACCCAGGCCAGTCGTGCTTTAGGGCAAGCAAAGGAACCGCTGTGAGAGTCAATGTCCCCAGCAAGGTCACCCCTGGGGCGGTCGCTGCTTCCTCCCTGCAGAGAACATGCTCCCAGCTAGGACTGCAGCCCGTGCCCTGGTGCCTGGTGGACCGTTTCCCCAGGACACTCGGCACTGCCCTGGGGGGTGGGGAAGGCTGTCACTAGAAAGTGAGCCGTGAGGAAAGTGCACCCCGCAGCGGCGGGCTCCCCCCGGGCTCCGGGCCGCGCCCTGGGGCTGCCTCCAGTGGCCAGGGGACTCCCGCGAGCGCGCCTTCCTCGTCCGCACGCTGGCTCGAGCTCAGCACGCCACCGGACACGCTTGCTCATGTGATCTTTTGCTCCCCAGCTTTTTGTGGACAAAGACACAGTGGTCAATGCTGTTGGGTCGTCACATGACATCCACCTCTTGAAGATTGACAATCGAGAAGATGAGCTGGTGACCAGGGTCAACTCCTGGTGTACACACTTAGTGGACAAGGTGAGTAAATGCCCCTGGTTCCGCAGGCTGCACCAGCTCCTCTGGCTGCCAGCCAGGGAGAAATGGGAAGTCGTCCTTGGGAGTATGTACTTATGCATTAAGAAATGAAGAAAAGAGTAAAATTAAGGATTGTAGAATTCCACACTGAAGACTTCACATTACCCAGTCAGACTTTAAAACCCATTGCCTCATCATTTTTCTAACTCTTACCCCAAGTCTATAGATAAATAGGGCAGAACCCAGGAAGCTGTGAAGTAAATGAGGACTACTTTTCTTCCCCCCAAACTGGACTTGGTGAAAGATATTAACCAATTATCTGACTCTGTGATACCGGGCTTCGGTTCACCCCTCAGATCCACAAGGACGAGGTCATGCGGAACCGCAGGCGAGTGAAGGAGATCAATCAGTACATCGACCACATGCAGAACGAGCTGGACAACCTTGAGTGCAGCGATCTGATAGATTAGGGCTGTGCTGGCGCAGAGGGCTGCTGCCGGAGGCGCGGTGCTGGCCCTGGCCGGCGGCGCCCACTTCCTGGCGCCTCAGAAGGGAATTACTGGGGATTTCTCAACCCACAGCCCCGCAAAGTCATTTTCTCCACCACCCCTGGGAGAACTTTCAAATGTAGAGAAAATAAAGGAGTTAAGTCACCGTCTCTCCATTCTTTAAAGAAGTAGTCAGAATTTCCCATTCACACAGGGGCAGGAGAGAAAGCCCCAGACCCGCGCTGAGCCAGCCTCCTGAGAGCGACTCCCAGGGGCCGCCGGCCGGCCGGCCCGGCTCCAGCTGTGCCCCCGGTCAGCGGGGTGCAGGCCCCACCGTGGCACCCAGCACAGGCTGCCGGGCCTGGCTCTCCGCGGGGGGCTCCCCGTGGGGGGCTCTCCGCGGGGGGCTGTGGCTCCCTGTGTCCGAACGTGGCCGCCGGGACCCAGGAGCCCTCCGGAGCATCCGCGCACAGGCTGGGCACCCCCGTCCCCCTGCAGCCTGATACTCTGTGCAGTGGGGATGTGGAGGCACCTCCTCTGAGCACGGCCGAGGGGCCGGGGAACATGCGAGGCCAGTGCCCATTGAACGGGAAGGGTGCCCTTTTGTCACCCTCTGCAAGGAAAGCCTCTGCACCTGAAACCAGACGCCCCGGTGTCCCTCTCCACAGGCCCTGGCACCACGCCGGCGCGCCCGCCCAAGTCTGAAGGACACCAGGGCTCCCCAAGCAGGACATACGCGCCACAGGTCGCCTTGCTCACACCTGCCAGGCTTTGAACCGAGAAAAAAATGTGTGTTTTCTGTTTCCTATTTTCAAAAGTAAATATTTTTTTCTAAAATCGTAGGAACAAGTAAAAACAACCAACTTAGACCGAAAAGGACTCATTTTCAAAAGATCATTTGACTAGCCCTGGCCGGGCAGCTCTGGCGGTCGGAGCGCCGTCCCCACACCCCCGGGCAGAGCACACGCCCAGGCTGCAGGTTTGATCCCCGGTCAGGGCCTGCACGGGAGGCAACTGATCAACGTTTCTCTCTCACATAGAACTCTTTCTCTCTCTCTCTCCCTTCCTCTCTCTCTCTCTCAAATTAATAGACATATCCTCAGCTGAGGATTTTGATTAAAAAGCAGGAAAAAAGCTCTTGGGCTGAGGGTCAGGACCACACATAGCGCACAGGCCTGTCGGCTGATGACCTGGTGACGCGGGTCGTGGGAGGCTCCTGGCCTCAGGCCACGGGTATCAATCGTGCTGCGGGGGCTGCCGTGGCCCTCGATGAAACCCCGCTGTAACAGGAGCAATGATGTGTGGAGGTGCAACTGAAAACAGGGCTCAACACCTTTCCCGGGTTAAGTATTTAATAAAATTAGTGGGGAAAGTCACTGCTACCACCGCGCCCTCCCTCGCGCAGGCTGGGGCGGGGCCCCCACGCTGGACTCGGGCAGACCTCCAGCCACGGTGTCCGGGCGGGGAGCCCTGCCCTGCGGCGCAGCGCGCTGGGCCTCAGTCCTTCAGGAGCTTGTGCCTGACTGCGGTGCTCTCGGAGCAGAGGAGGACGAAGAGGGCGCCCGCGGCTGTGCGTGCCCGCAGCTCCTGCAGCTCGTAGTCGTGGGCCCACTCCACGTTGCCCCACTTCTGGATCTGAGGGGAGGACACGGAAGGAGGTTGAGCGAGTAGCTTAGTGCCCCTCTGCCTGCCGGCCAGAGCCACACACACGCCACCCTGCGGCTGGGCCGGAGGGCCTGCGGCTCCGATCCCGCTAAAGCAGGCGCGACAGGTGCGGCTGGCAGGCAGCAGCTAAGAACACACAGGTGGCCAGAGCAGGCGCCTGCGTGCTGTGGGGCGCGGCCGGCCTGGGGGTGCGGTGCAGGCCCAGGCCCATGGGTTCCCACTACCAGGCAGGCTGGGCACGAAAACCACACGTGGGTGCCCCGACCCGGCCTGTGTGCTGCCTTTCACACTTCTTCCCACAAAGAGGTGGGCACAGTCAGCCTATAAAATGTCACCCTCTAATGAGCCGCCCTGCCAGGCTGGGCTGCAAGCGTCCCCCACATGGGTGGGATAAAAAAAATCAACCCAGGCTCTACGGCCACTTCATTCCTGACTCCAAGGAGCCGCGCCGCTGCGGAGGCTGCTGTGCCCTGCGCGCTGGGCAGGGAGGCAGGCCCTCTGTCCAGGCTGAGGACTGCAGGGGAAGCCCGGCCACACAGCGTGGCTGTCCAGACGTCCGCGGGCTCCGGACCGCCTGCCAGGAACTCAGAACCCACCACGCCACAGAAGCCGTCAGCATTGCTGGGCGGCCTCGTCCCAACCGGGGCGATGAGCTACGCCATTTGAAGAGAGCTCACGTACATATAATCCAGGTTACTCCCCATTTTGTGGCAGATGCAACCTGAAGTTCAGAGGACAATGGCCTGGCTCAAGTCCCAGAGCCAAAAGTAGGGCCCAGACCCGAAGCCAGGTTTCCTGGCCACCAGCCTCTCAGGAGCCTCAGAGCCGCCCCTCCCCACTGCCCCGCCAGGTGGCCCTCTCCCACTGCGCCATCTCTAACGCCTCTTCCGTGATCCAGAAAGAGTTTTTCCCCAGGCATTTTTCTGAGCAGATGACTCGATGGGCTTGGGCAATGCTGCCACCGCGGGAGGGTTTCACTGTGCTGGGAACAGCCCATAACAGCACGTTCCCTTACAAGGCGGGAGAAATAACAGGCTGCAGAGGCTGCTGCGTTCTGGTTAAAGATGCGAATGAGAGCGTAGCAAAACGTTGCCGATTCTGAGCCCCCTAAGCCAGAGCCTGCGCACTCAGAGCGGCTCCCCTGGCTCCCTGCCAGCCAGCGACCCCGTGTCAATGTCAGGGCATGAGGCTTGGTCCCTAGGAGCACAGACGTGGCTCCCAGCCATTGTAACAGGCCCATCTGGCAGGTGTGCCAGGCCCAAATGACCTTGATTTGCTCGTGAACCTCCACCTGCAGGGTGGGGTGAAGGCCTTGGCCTTCGAAACGCTGGCTCTGGCATTTTCCGGAAGTGTGACGTGTGCCTCAGTTTCCTCCTGTGTAAAGTGGGGATAACAGCAGCCCGCCTGGCCAGGCTGTTGAGGAGGAAGTGAGGCGCTGAGGGTAGACCTGGCTGAGCACGATGCTGGTAGTCCTTACTGTCCTTCTTTCTTATTGCTGCTGTGGTTTGTATTGTACACAAAATAACACCGGGTGGGTTAGCCAACCCCCACCCCCAGCTAGCCCAAATCTGGGAGGGGACAAGGTGCACAGATGAGGTGTGGTAGAACTGTGCAAACAAAACCGGTAGAATTTTGTGAACCAGTGTCACCCCAACAAACTCAATAAAAAGGAGAAATCAATAAACAGACGAAGCAGGGAGGGGCGAGGGCCCACCTCACCTGGTACTCCTCCTCCAGGCGGGACAGCAGCACAGCCTGCTCCACCGTGAGCCGCAGGTCCATCAGGCCCAGGGTCAGCACCATAGACTTGAGCTGGGCCACTACAAACTCAATCCCTGCGGGGACACAGGCAAAGTCAGGGCCCCGGGCCCCTCCACTCTGAACAAGGGCAGCTGCTGGGCCTACTCCTTGTGGTGCAAAGGTACAGGCTGGGGGACATGTCACAGGGCCATGGCTTTTTGGCCGGCTCTATGTCCCTTCCTCGTTCTCCTCCAAGAGCACTGGTTTTCCTTGGGGGAGAGTCCTCCTCTGCTCCTACCCACGGTGGGCACGTGGCCTGGCCTGGCACAGCACCACATTCCACCCCCACCCAGTGACCGGTTCACAGATGAGACTTGAACCCCTGAAGAAAAGATAGCCGACCTTCCCCTGGAAGGGCGCGAGCCTGCTGGCCCCGCAGCCTGAGCTGGAGTTGGCATCAGAGCCACCCCCTAGAGTGCGCCCCTGGCTCTCAGGGCTTTGGAGCCCACCCCTAGCCCGCAGGACATGCCCAGCATACCTTGTAAGGCCCACATGTTGTAAGAGGCCAGGTGGCTGACGAGCACCTCCCGAGTCCTGGCTGGGATGCTGGGCCCCATTATGCTGGTGGAAGAGCCGATCTCCACGCCATACCTGGAAAGAAGAGGCTCTGGCGTGCTGTGCACCTCACTTCTGCCCAGAAGCAGAGCCCCACATGCTGAGCAGGTGTGCACCCCTCCAGGGCATGTGGCTAGGAGGTCAGTCTTGGGGATGCTGGGAGCAACTGCCACTGTGGTCAGTGACCTCCTGACCTGGTAATTTCTGTTATGAGCAAAGCCAGAGGACCCAGAAACTGCCCTCACTGGAGGTCCAGGCCAGCGAGTCATGCAAGCAGGGCGCGCGAGGCTGCCTCGAATCCTATTTGCCTGGAATCTCCATCAAAAGCACGGGCTCCTTGCTTTTCAAATTTTTAAAGAAAAATTTTCACATTGAGGTCATAGGAGATTTCTTTAAATATTGATTTCCTTACAATATTTGTATATGTCCTATATAATTTGATCACTCTTTCAAATATTTATGAAGGTTCTACTATGTACAAGGCATTTTTTAAATTAAAAAATTTTTTTTTTAGTCTGGGACATGAGCTGGCTTCAAGAATGATACATTTTCCAGAATAATCATAACTACATAAAGTACAGGAAAAACATAATGAAGTAAAAGCAGTTTTTAAAATTCTCTTTTTCTTTTTGCTTAATCTTTTATTTTCAAATTACAGTTGATGTACAGTGTTAGTTTCGGGTGAACGACCCAGTGATTACAAATTTCCGTGACCTACGAAGCGATGCCCCCAGTGAGGCCAGCATCCTGGCACCGCGCAGCTGCCGCCCTGCTACTGCCCACATGCCCTCTGCTCATGCCCACGCTGTTCGCTAACAGCCATTCTGATCGCTTCCTAATCCCTCCCCCTTCTCACGCAGCCTTCCAATCCCCCTTCCCAATAGTAACCATCAACATTTTCTCTGTATCTATGAGTTTGTTTCTGTTTTCCTTCTTCATTTTTGTTCTTTAAAGTCCACATA